CAATACTCAACTACTCGGGCTGATCCCGCCTGGGGCCTCATGAACGGCATCGTCGGTACCGCCCCCATGGGCGCCATGTACGTCCGCGCCCTCTACGATTACGAGGCCGACGATCGCACCAGTCTCAGTTTCCACGAAGGAGATGTTATCCAAGTTATCACCCAGCTCGAGAGTGGCTGGTGGGATGGTGTTATAAACGGCGTTCGAGGCTGGTTTCCAAGCAACTACTGCCAGATTATAACGAGCCCCGACGATATACCCGACAGTGCCCACAATGGTGCATTCGATGTCGTCGAAGACGATGTTGAGGACCCTGAGATTTACGACGATCAATATGATCAAGACGACGACTCTGAACTAGATGGCCCCATCGCACTGCCGCTCGAGGGAACTGATGGGGGGGATAGTTCAAGGGCCGATTTCTGGATTCCGCAAGCAACCCCCGATGGGCGCTTGTTCTATTACAATATGATGACAGGAGACCGTAGCATGGAACTGCCTTTGGAGTCTCCTGTGTCCACTAACGAGACTGGCCCACGAGATCGAATGAACGTTAATATCCCCGACAAAACCAGGCCACCTCCTGAGATGATGGCTCGTGGTCTGACCCAAGACGAGGACGACGAATCTTTGACATCTGCATCCGAGGCTGAAGGTGACCCGTCCAGACTGACCTCACGTCGTTCAAAGGTATCTAAAAGATAACAAAAGCTACTGCTGTATTAACACAATTGCTAACACTCTTCAGAACCGCCAGCGTTCTTCTTTCGGTGCTTTGTCGCCATCGACATCCATGGATTCGATCAATGGCGCATCGCCTGTTGGCCGTGTTCGAAATGGCGCTACGCCGAATGGCCTTCTCTCTGCGGGACAAGTCCCCAACATAGCATCAGCAACCTCTTTTACCAGCACCACTTACAACCTTCCCACTACAGCTACTGTTCCTCGATCGTTCTTCGATGACGGCTCTACGCCTTCCCTTAGCTGGACTCTGCTTGTCTCTAATATGCGACGTGCTATTGACCGCTATCGCGAAGCTATCATGAACAACAACCGTTCAGAATATGTAGCGAAAGCTGAAGACATATCAGATCACTTGCGATTGCTGCTCGCCGCTGGTTCGGGGACTACTGACAACCATTCGGGCCAACCATCTATCATCTCAACAAACAAAGCTTTGTATCCCCATTTCCGAGATATGATGTCCAAGTTCTCCAAACTCGTCATTTCCTCCCATATAGCGGCTGCGGATTGGCCCAATGCCGAGTCTATCCAGAAATGTCTGCAAGAGGCTGATGGTGTTCTTATGGGCGTGTACAGCTACGTGGAAGTGGCTCGACAACAGCGCGGTGAAGAGATTCCTCGACTCTTCCCTGGTTTTGTTATTGGTAGTACTACAGGTGGCAGTTGGCAAAACAACGGCCTAGGTCCCCGAGATGAAATCACGGCCAATTTTCTTGAAGACGAGGAGGGTGTCGTAGAACCAACTGCAATCCTAGACAACAAAATGCTCGAGCGATTGGACGAGCAGAAGCGCATCCTCGTATCCAGCATCCGGGAACTTGACAAGAGTCTGGTTGTAATGGACAAAATTGTCACGCCTTACAGACACGAAGTCATCGGCAACAACGTTTGCTTTGCTGGTGGGAGGGTTCTTGATACATTCAGACAATGGATTGCCATGATTGAGTCCATTGATCTATCCTCTTTAGGCAACAGCTTCCAGACACCTCAGTTATCTGACCTCGGTACCAACAAGCAGAGTCTTTACGACAACATATCCGATCTTATCCTTGGATGCCAAGCTGTCGCTGGACCTCTAGCCGACGAATGGTCCGAAGTTCGTGGCGAGGCATTGGAGAACCGTCTGGAATATGTGCGGCAATGTGCCAGGGCACTGGAAACCAATTCCTCACATATTGGCTTCTCTCTTCAACTATTATCCGAGCAAGTTCAAATTAACATGCAATCACACCAGATCGAGGCTCGGCCACGAGAGAACTCTTTTGTTCGAAGCACTCTGCAAAGAGGCGAGACAATGCCTTACGATCGTCCACACCAGCGTACAGAATCGAGGACAGCTCCGGTCCGCCCGCCTCTTATAACATCACAGTCGTTCACCGAAGGCGAGCCTGCACCCGGCAATATGCGCAGAGGTGACTATTCCAAGGTGAAGAAGATCTTTGGTGAAGACCCGTCTCCACAGGTTCCAGTGACGGAAGACACACCGGAATTCCTACTCCTGGATTACGAACATGAGGTATCTTGGGATAGCAAGACCTCGCCACCTACTGTAAAGGGAGGATCCTTGCTCGCCCTTGTCGAGCAACTAACTCGCCACGACAAGCTTGATTCAAATTTCAACAATACATTCCTCCTTACTTACCGATCTTTTACAACGGCCCGAGAACTCTTCGAAATGCTTATCAAGCGATTCAACATTCAACCGCCGGAGGGTCTTAACCCGATCGATTATGAGATTTGGAGGGACCGAAAGCAGAAACTTATTCGTTTCCGTGTTGTTAACATCCTGAAGAATTGGTTTGATAACTTCTGGATGGAGGATCATAATGACGAGTCAAAACAGCTTGTTCGAGATGTTTACAGCTTCGCGAAAGATACGGTCAAATCGACAGAGACGCCTGGTTCAGCACCTTTAATGGCAGTCCTTGACCAAAGGCTGAGCGGTAAGGATGCTGGTGCTCGCAGAATGATCCAAACGGTGAACCAGAACACACCAACCCCGATCATGCCCAAGAACATGAAGAAGCTGAAATTCCTGGATATTGACGTGATTGAGTTCGCACGCCAGCTCACGATTGTCGAGTCTCGATTGTATGGCAAGGTCAAGGCGACAGAGTGTCTGAACAAGACCTGGCAGAAGAAGATTCCTGAGGGCGAGCCCGACTTGGCCCCCAACGTCAAAGCACTTATCCTCCATTCAAACCAAATGACAAACTGGGTCGCCGAAATGATTTTGGCACAGATGGAAGTCAAGAAGCGAGTGGTGGTGATCAAGCACTTTGTTTCCGTTGCCGATGTGAGTCAATCAAATTCATGATGTTTTTCTATTGCAAGGTTACTGACTCCAGCATAGCGTTGTCGTGTTCTGAACAACTTCTCAACACTAACATCGATTATATCCGCATTGGGTACTGCACCCATCGCTCGTCTCAAGCGGACATGGGACCAGGTGCCTCAGCGTACACATGCTACATTAGAATCAATGCGGAGAGTGATGGCAAGCACCAAGAATTTCGGCGAGTACCGCGAAGCTCTTCATGCCGCTAACCCACCTTGTATTCCCTTTTTCGGTATGTGCCCCTTTCCGAGAATTAGGCCATGAATGGCAATACTCACAGCGTAAAGGTGTCTACTTGACCGACTTGACTTTTATCGAAGATGGCATTCCTTCCATCATTAAGAAAACTAACCTCATTAATTTTGCCAAACGTGCTAAGACCGCTGAGGTCATTCGAGACATTCAGCAGTATCAGAACGTGGGGTACTCACTGCAGCCTGTACCTGAGCTACAAGACTACATCTTGAACAACATGCAGGCTGCTGGTGATGTACACGAGATGTATGACAAGAGCTTGCAAGTCGAGCCTCGTGAGCGCGAGGATGAAAAGATTGTGAGGTATGTTGCATTGCGGAATACACCCGCATCGTATGGAGCGGTGTCCTCTTTCTTCTGAGTCGCTATTTTACGATAGTTACCGCATCAGGATTGCCAGTTCTCATTAGCAGCTCGCTTTCTTTCTCCCTTTCTCTCCTGACCAAATATGGAAAGATCTATGCTTACTTGATGTTTCTTAATTACAGGGTTTTGGCCGAGTCTGGATTCCTCTAAGCAATGAAGCCTTGCAAATGTTCGAAACATTTATGCGGCTACGAGTCCCCCGCATCTAGTTTTGGAAAGCGGATCGAGAACGAACCGGGATGGGTCGTATTGCAACACCATCAGCTGTTCTGACAGACTATGATGGTCCCGAGTGGCCATGACTTGCGGCGTATGTTACGCTGCCAACCATTAGAAGTGGCAGGAAGCGGCGCGACACCATAGCGCAGGATCGGGAGACGGCCCGGATGAGTTGGTGTGGTAGCATTTGGTAACATGGGGTTTTTTGAAAGTGCGGAGATGCTTGACCTGGGCGCCAGTGATAATGGGAACGTCTTTAATTTGACGAGGCATTTGAAAAAGAGGGCTCCAAACCGGGCTTATAAGCAACCCTACTCTGAGGATTAGGGATCATTTTTGGCGGGTTTGTTTGGCGTACCAGATATCATAAGGGGGACTTTGCATGGGAGACGTTTTCACACTTTTGACGGACATGAACAGTGGCATTGGCAAGTGTACGCTGGTCGCACAAGAACTGAATATACCTGGGAGATCCAGGAGCAGGGCGTATAGTAAAATTAGAGGCTTCCAAAGGGAGCGCAGGGTCAACTCTCGAAACTGTCGGGTTTCAGATGCAGTGAATAGCGCAGATATACCGCGGCGAGTTAATATTGATGGTCAATCTAACAGTGCTCTGAACTTACCGCAATACAAAACATCACGTTACCAAGCTCATGGTGGCAGTCCTTTGTATCTGCCAAGGTCAGGTGATTGAGGGTGGTTGATCAAAGAGACAGACGAGCATACAGTGTTCCCGTTTCAGCTTTGCGCATACACCTCATTTGCCGCTACTCCGGGCTGTTCACAAATCTCACATGCCCAGTAGATGCTTACGGACGCTGGTGTAGTAGCATGCCAGGTGAAAAGTACACAACAACCTGGGCTTTCCTGTTCATAACAACATCCCGTGGGCAGGCGGATAAGAGGAAATTTCGCGAAAGCATCAGTTTCAGTATTTATATACATAAAGCAGCTAATAGAAGAAAGAACGCATTCGAATAGCGCCTAAAATATAAATTTCATGGTGTAAGCCGTTTGGGATATCATTCTCCGTCATTACATTCTACATGTTCCCCCCATCGAACTACTAACCAGCCGTTTAGTGCTTGTGAAGCTTGGCCTTGATGCGCTCGCCCAGACTAGGCTTGTCCTTCTTCTCCTCATGAGAGCTACCGTGGTGCTTGCTGCTGGAGTGCGACTCGGTATGAGAGGCTGGCTCTGAGCTACCGCCTTCACCGAGGTGAACACCCTTCTGCTCCATGAGTCCTGATATATGTTAGCCATGTCCAAAAGGTAGGAAGTGTAGAGCAATTCTACTTACGGTCAGCCTCACGTCCAGCACCGGGCTTTGAGGCGTCGAAGTCGCCGCCATCGGCAGCAAATCCGGAGGCAGTGATATATTCATCCTCCTTTGGGTCATGGGGCTGTTTCTCTGAGCTGGACGATTCGCCAGCGCCGGAGCCGACTTCAGTGGGCTTGTTGGAGGTTCCTTCGACAGGAGCATTACCTGCATCACCGCCAAACTCCTTGGCGAGGCTTTGGATAGGACGGGGGCCAGGTCCCTCGCCAATCTTCGCATCGGTACCTTCAGAGGTGTCGTCTACATCGTGGAGATCCTTTTTACCCTTGTCGGCTTGTTCTGGGGTGCGGGTATCGTTCTGCTCAGCAGTGGTATCCTTTGAGTGGTTGGGGGCGGCAGCAGGAGCCGGTACTGCAGATGAAGCAGTTGTTGTTGAAAGAGGATCTTCTCGTCCAAGTCCGGATATGTTTTCCTCGCCATGCTGTCCGTAGTTGAAGTTCTCAGCTACCTTCTCTTGTTGTGGGGTTTCTATAGGCATTAAGTCAGTAAGATAGTTCGCATATTGATGCAGGGACCCATGACGCACCCAGGTTGCCAGCATCGTAGGGCTCGCCGCGGGCAGTGTCACCCTTGACTCCAGAGACAGGCTCCTTGTTGCCGGTCTGGTTCTCGCCCCAGATGGCTTTGGAGGCAGTAGCAGTGAGGTTGTTGATGGTCTCCATTGTGGTTTGGTTATTCGTATGGTGTGAGAGTACTATGTAAGTGCAGTTGAACTGATCTCGCAGTGGGGGTATGATTGAGGCTTGGCAGGGTATCTTGAGTGCAGATGGGGTATAATGAAAAACAGATGGTGAATGAGAAGAGGCAGAAGGGTTATGGAGATAGTTGAAGTTTAAATAAAACACATGGCAAATGTCATGACAACAATGTCAGGGAGGAGAGGGGCTTGATGAGCTCTGACGTCGTTGCTTGTTTGAGTGCCAGGTTGCCTACCTCCAATAGGCAGGCAGGGCCTCGATACGGACAGGTAACTGAAGAGGCCGAGCAAAATACATCATGAGTACTATGAATAGAAACCTTCATCGAGGATTTACTATACGTTGATGACAGGCTCTATGTACCTAGTACAGGCCGATAGTAACCTGCTGAGTGTGCAACAACGCACAGCGTAACACTTTGGATACTGTCCTCCAGTTCGGTCAAACCTGGAATACAGTCCAGGGATAAAGATAATTGTCCATCTTCCGTATGTGGCGGCTTCGAGTTATGACGCCGCGGTCGATCAATGGACTGACCTGACAGGGCATGGCATGACAGTAGCCCAGGCGTAGTATAGTGTATTGTGCTAGAGTGCCCTGTGGCCTACAGTAGCGAGAAGATACTATCTGCTTTGAGGCTGGGAGCCGTATCCCCGGTCAACTTCCCACATGCGCTCGGCTTATTCCAAGCATGAGTGGGGTTGGATAGATGATGTAAAGCCTGGCATACAAGAGGGTATGACGTGACGCAACCCCTCCATAGATCAGGGACAATGAACTTGGATCTGTTTTATGGGTAAGAATCAAGTGTAAATGCCTAGGTACCTATGAAAACTAAAAAGAAACGAGCGATACAACTGCAATCCACAAAAGGAGGAACTACATGGGATCTAGCAAAAACAATGTGTTATGTTTATTCTTTTCTCCGTGCATCAAGTCATGACTTTTAGGCATCTTGTGCTAAGATGCCTACTAGTTATTGTAAGGTTAATTGAAATGGGTGTGTCTGCTACGTCATTGTTCAATATGATTATCGAATCGTGGGCGGAATGGAAGAAAGCGGGGAAAGCTAAACAAGCTTCTTCTAGATAGAGCTTCAGCATGTCGGTACTCATGATAAAACCGAAAGTATTGTAAAGAGTTGGGAAATGAAGCAATACAGAAAAGTTATCGACACCTACTCTCATGCCAAGCAAACACACATGTTTATACATGTATCTTTAACGACGCTTAATTATAGTCCGACTTGGCACCGAATGTCCTCAGGAACTTGCCCCCATATTACCCATAGATCTGGTCATCTCCATGCTTCACAGTCAAAAGCGTTTCAAACCAGCTTCTGACTTGGACAACACGTTCTCCCTGACCAGTTACTCGTCTCTAATCTAGAGGGGATGTTTACAAATGTTCTTACAAATGATCATCACACGTCACATGTATCTATTATTGTGTATAGTATCCGCAGGCTAGATCATAGATTCCTGATGATCCATGTCCATATGGATCTGTATGGAACCCGCCTGTCTGGTCGCCCTCGTTCATGTCTTTACAAATTAGGCAGCTCACTGAGATACGACGGGCGTAAGAATAGTCTGTTTGAGACTATGCAGCCCTGTATTTGTGGCTAACAGCAATTCGGCCGAGTGCCGGCTTTTGCCCATAATGTACCGGTATCCCTCTAGTTTGTCTTGATGAATGGTTTCATGAATCATGAATACAATTCTCTCGACTCTGCTTAAGCCATAGACGGACTTGCCGAGGCCGGGCGTACTTCTTCGAACACACAAGCTCGCCTGGGACAACGCCCCGTCGGCAATCTAGTATTACGAGGTGAGGACGAATTGAAAGACGAAGACATGGCCTGCTGCTGTTGTTTTTTATTGAGGATTGAAGCGTAACGCCTATGCTGGGTGACTTTGGCAGTGATCGCATCTGCTAATGGTCATTTAGTTTGTTGTGAGTTGCAACTTTGCCTGCAACATAGCCACTACCACTATCACTGCCTGGTTGGTACATGGTGTATAGTTACGGATATTACTGTTTCAGTTTAGCAAAGTCAGAGACCAACAGCAGAATAATCACATATCTATCCATGTGAACAAATAAATGGCACCATACCCCTAATGATGAACTGGTACATAGTATGTACCTACTAGACAGCACTCAGAGTCTAAAAGCTTGATACCCACCATCTAATAAACACACAACAACAAATACCCACTGAAGAATTATTCAAGACAAGGTGGTCCATGTCTAGGTTTGTAAGCATCCTCACACCGTTATCTGCCCCCCTTTCTTTTTCTTTTTCTTTGCTTTGTTTACAATCCTGTCATAGCTTTTATCAACCACTTTACTAAACTATCCTGATATTTGCCCTTGTGAGTTGGGTGGTGATAGCTGATAGGCAAACCCCGAATGACACCTACCATGACATTACGTATTCATGTATTCATATGCACTGCTGTCCACAGTTCACATGCAACGGGCATGGAACTGGACTGCATCCATTGCTTGGAGCCATGCCACCTTCAAGATCCGTGCGGGATTCCAGCTGTGCCGCGGGTTGCGAACGTGCGTCCGTTGCATTGAACCACAATGCTAGCTGAAGATCACCCCTGAGGTGAGATGTGATCGATGGGAAGTCCATATTTTCAACAATGCCGTAGATGTAATTAATTAATCTCCACACATGTCATGCTAACAGTACCGAATCTCAGTTATATCAGATACTATAATGATATGGATTTCGTGAGAGCAAGACTTGACGAGCGTTAAGATCGGCAGGCACTGGGAGAGCAAGAACAGAACAAGGTTCCTAACAGTGGAGCGACAGTCTAATTTAGGTACCTAGAAGGAGACACTGTAGTTGGCTTTACCCTTTGCAGGGCTGGGTCCACTAGTTGGGCTGGGCCTACCTGTCTTGGTCTGCGTGTCTGTAGCGTAATGGGATTTATCAACTTACGGCTTCTGTTTCCGTTTCCGTCTGGACTAAATATACTTCTTGGACTTACCCTTGCTTGTCTGCTCACAATCTTTAATCATTTCAATGTATTGACAAACAAGTAGGAGGTAAGATCTCTGGACGGCGCCTTGATACCTTAAAACGTCCGACGGCACATATCATCACGCCTCTGGCTCTAAACTTGGATACCTATCACCTACTGGATAACTGTTTCCACCTAGCCCTGACCCTGGCCCCCTTCTCTTTACGTGGGACGTTGATGAGAACCCGTTTTTTTTTTTTACCCAATCCCTTTTCGGCCCATTCAATTACATACTGTACCTACATACATACCGACAGGGTCCTTGTCGTACCTTGTTTGACTCGGTTCTGTTGCATTTCGGGCAACTTCACATCTGCCGAGTAGGAAGGTAGGTAAGTACTAGTCAGTTCAGTGTCTCATGTGAATATCTTTCATGCCATTCTCTTAGGTAGGTAGGCAGTACCTACCCCGCGACTTTCACATCAAACGCATACATTCTTCTTTTCCCCTTCCCTCCTTCCGCTCGCTTCCCCGGGCTGTGGGCCACCCCTACCACCTTCCTTTACCTTTTTACCTTTACCTTACCTTCCCATCTACGTATCGGAAACACAACGGGCTTGTCTGTCGCCCGTTGTGACCCAGTTTAACGAACATCAGCTGAACGACCATTTAGGGTACGGCGATACACGGACACTTGCTCAACCTAAGCTGCCGGACTTTTTTCATTTCGAGGCCATACACGACACGACAGCTGTTTCAAGGCTGTGAGTGAATTCGTTTAGTTCAAGTCTAAATGAGTGGTTGGGACGGCAGACGCAGAACATTACGAGACAAGGCGAGGTTGATCTAGACGCGATTCATTGCATATTGCTTGTTATTGATAGGATCTTGCTACTTGACCTCACTCATTGTCTTATTATCCTTCATCCACCACACACACCTTAACATCCGACTTGGCGATGCTCCATTGAGCTGACCTCTCTATCATTCTTCTACTGTCCCTATTAACCTGACCTGGATCCAACCCACCCGTCAGGGCCACCACTAATAGGCTGGCAACACCACAGCAGTTTGCTTCTTGCTATACAACTTGCAACTGTTTTGTTATCTCACTCGCTAGGGGTCCTGCATAGGTGTTGGGACTGTGAATCTGAAGTTTCATCAGCTTCACAGATCCTGCCTTCGCATTGTCAGATACACTCCTCCAGGTTTGTTGACGGTTACTGGAGTTCACTTTTCAGCAAGGCGCCGCTGTGACGCAAGGTTTCTCGACGGCCATGGTCTACTGCGGTAAAGCCTCACAGGGCTGTCAAAACTGTCGGGTCCGACGCATCAAGGTAAGATATAGTGAGCTGCATGCAGACACTTTTATCCCACCTTCCCACCACCACATCTCCAATTCATTCGTTCATAACTAACCGGTGTTGACTTTCAAGTGTGACAAAATGAAACCGGAATGTTCACAATGCATTCGAGTTGGGAAAAGGTGTCCAGGTTATCGTGACCAACTGTCTCTCATGTTTCGCGATGAGAGTAGCAAAGTGATACAAAAGGCACATGCACAATGGGGTGTTGGCGATTCCGCCTCTGAGGGGCTGTCAACACAAACTTCATCCAGCTCTCTCGCTTCATCATATGCGTCCAGTGCTTCCACAAATTCATCTTCCTCCTCAACCTCGTTACACGCTGGCTCGACCTCCTCAGTCACAGTCGGCTGGCCCACATCTCCTGCTTCCACACAGAGCCAGCAAGCATTGCCCCCGACCCCGTCATCTCCCTCCTCCTCCTCTTCATCCTCTATTGTTTCTAAATCATCAGCTACCAACACGACGCTGCTTACATTCACCCAGCCACCGCGACTTCCGACACCTATCGATTCGAGTATCGAGGACCAGGGTGTTCAGTTCTATGTTAATCGCTACCTCATTGGTCATCCCGACGAGCCGAGACATCCTGGCGACTTGACAAATACCGGGTGGTTATGGGACCCTGCTGTGCAGGATATAATGGCTGCTGTCGGCCTCGCCAGCCTTTCGAATCTTAGGGGTGACAGCAGCATGATGACGACAGCCCGTCAAAAATACGGACTAGCCTTACGCCAAACTGGCCGCCTTATACAGACCTCGAGCATGCCGGACTTTGAGGTTACAATGCGCTCCGTCGTCATGCTTGCCATGTTCGAGGTGTGTGCCCTTACCCCCGATGCTGTTCAATATTCCCCGATGGTCAGCACGATTTCAACTTTCCCCTTCCATGCGTGCAATGCCGGCAACTCGAATACTAACATCTGTCTGCAGCTTGTCAAGGGAGCGAATCAAGGCATTGCTCATGTACATGCACATGTTATGGGTGGTGTTGCTTTATTGCGAAGATGGCTGCCTATGCCGGCAGCAGCCTTCCTTGGTGTTCGCGCCATGGTACAGATGTCTTACTCTCTTGTATGTCGTAGCGTCCCTCCTATAATTCTACGTTAGCTTACAAGCCCACACAGTTCATAGCCGCCTACATCTCAGCAACACCATTACCGGACCCTCTGTACGAGTGGGTTTCGTTTGCCAAAACCCTCCTCGAACCTGCTGATCATCCAGCTACTGATCTCGGTCCATTAGTTGGTCAATTTATTCAATTATCAACCTATATCAGGGCCCATACTTATTCTGATGGCCATGTGCATACGGCCGCCGCCCTGAAGCAGTTGTTCGCTCTTGATGCATGCTTTCTGGAATGGGAACATGGGCTCGGGCCCACATGGCGATTTCGTACAGAGAAAGCCAAACATCTACCATCGTCTGTGGTGTTTGAGGGCGTATATCATGTCTATTATGATATGTTTGTTGCACGCATGTGGGGACATTACCGGTGGGCACGCACTCTTCTGAATCAAAACATCATTGAGTTCGTCAAAAAATACCCAAAATCCAGTGCACCTTTAATGTCACTGGCTGAGTATGGACGACGATACGAGATTGTAAGAGGGCTCGCTCGCGATACACTTGTGAGCACTCCGACGCATTGGCGACACCCTCTCCTTACCGACAAATCTGCCATGCCAGTTGAGAGAATAGGGGGTGCGGGCTCAGGCTCGGCTGGACTTCCTGTTGTTCTATTCCATCTTCAAGTTGCTGCATGTGCTCCTGGTGTGCCAGACACATACTGGGATTGGGCCTTGGCGGTAATGGAATGTATATGGAGTGACATGGGCATTCTACATGCCAAATCTATGATGGAATCTATGAAGGCATACCGAGCCTCCTTACTGGTAAAGGAGGAGGCAACCGAAAGCATTGTGCGGTGATATATCTATAAAGGAACAACATGGCAAAAAAAGGCCAGAAAATATCAGGGTCAATATGACTGCATCATGTTTGGTGTTTATCGGCTGTTTGGGAGGCTGCATTTGCATAGGCATTGGTTAGCATTGAACTTTATCTTTCAGTGCGAGATGAGAAGATTTATATCGGAGTATTTGGTTTATAGTGGCCTAGATGCCCTGGGATTGAGACCTTACTTATGGGCATTTTGGGTCGCAATTCTTGTTCATATCAAACGGACGTCACCATCATCCCTTCCTACATCATATTCAAGACAGTTTCTTGTTCAATATATATGGGATCACCATTTACGTTGTGTTACACAAATGATCTCCAATTGTTTGTATTTTGCTTTCATCATGATTGTACCAATATCTTGTGCACATATACATTTTGTGATCAATAAACTCTGCAAGAATTGTGACAATGGCAGTTTTTACGTCAACATTTCAAAAAGAAACAAGATGCTCGCATCAGTTTTTCCATCAGGGCAACAGCAAATAGACACAAAATAACCTTCCCACAGGGCCATACAACCAAATAAGATAACAGAACTTTACATCAGAATAAAATCCCTGTAAATTACACGAAAAAGGCGTACACTTTTTTCATCCTCATCTGAAAAAAGACAACCAAGTCACAGAAATCGAATGAGAATACCAAATCGATATACTACAGGCTACTTGCTACCCCAGACATTACTGGTGGAGCGCTGATTGACGTCCCCGGAGAAACAGTGTAGGCGTGGGCCGACTTTTAGCCACTCAGGCACGTGTATGTGTATCACTGGCAGCCATATCGCAAGGCAGCTAGCTACACTTCAACTCCACCACAGCATATAGCCTTGTCACGACGGCCATCTCTCGCGCAACCGAACAATTCACGATCATCGCTCAAAGTCGAAAATCATACTTGGTACAAACACCACGCTTTTCCCGCAATCACGAACGAGCGTAACTGCTCAACCTGCTCACATGGGGTCAGACACCCGAAAAGGTAAACGCGACTCCACGATCGCGCGACTGAATGGGGCTAACCGTACCCTGCAGGTGATGATGGCACAATCAAAGTCGCATCAAAGAACAAGAATGGTAGAATAAAGCTGAAGAGGCCTGCGCCAAAACACAGCAAGCCTGGAAACTGGAGGGATGGCAGTGTTATAGAAGGCGGTATGGCTCTATATTACTTCTCGGCTACGATATCAACATGACTAATTATTTGAAGACAAGAAGAAGAATGGCACTTCCCCTGTAGGTGCCCCTTCGCCAGGCCCTGTAGTAAACGAACTAGACGAAACTTCCCGCGAAACATTTGCAACCGGACGACCACTCGAAGACAGTCCTGATCTCCAACAATGCAAACATTGCAAGAAGAGCGTACTGAAGACTGCTGCCAAAGCGCATATTGCACAATGTCTGCGGTTGAAGAAAGAGAAGGCACAAAGGAAAAAGGAAGCTCGTGAGGCTAGAGAAAGGGCAAAGGAAGCGGCAAGACAAGAAGAGCAACGAAAAGAAGATGAAGAAAACGGCATAGAACGAGGTGATGACGACAGCGACGATGATGGCATATCGGCCGAGAAGAAGCCGACCGGAAGCAAAACCGCCAAAAAAGCTGCTGGGAAGAAGCCGGAAGACGGCGGGAAAGGGAAGAAGCGAAAGGCCGATGGTGACCCCGACAAGGGACCAAAGAACAAGAAAAAGAAGGATGAGCCCAAGGCTAAAGTCCCTAAACCAAAGGGTGAGGCGCTCTCGATCTATATCCTGAGGAAGCTATTCTAACATGATCAGGACCTGTGGACGTAGAACGGCAATGCGGTGTTCTGCTCGCTAACGGGCAGCCATGCGCAAGATCATTGACATGCAAGAGTCATAGTATGGGTGCCAAACGCGCAGTTGCTGGAAGATCTTTGCCATACGACATGCTTCTTGCTGCTTACCAGAAGAAGAACCAGGCAAAGCAGCAGAGTAAGTCTCTGCCTTGTGTTATAAATGCCCGACTGACAATCATCTACAGAGGCGGCACTTGACGCCAATGCACCAATAGAGGATGAAGACGAAGCAAACAATGGGCCTGTCGATTCGGATGAAGAAACAGCTGCTGTGATGAGTGCTCTGTCACAGTGGCGCCCACAACCGTTGATACCACAGCCCACATTCGCCCCGATAAAACGACAATATCAGCTTGCAAGATTGCACGAACAACTCCAGATGGCTACCAATAACGGAAGAACAAATATATTCTCCGTTACTGGTTTTGGGGCACAAAAGCTACCAGAAGGCCATCACGGACTGCAACCGGCTACTGAAGATGCACCAGGCGAAGTAGACCTTGGAGTTGCAGTTTCAGGCAACACGGGATGGACAACGGCTTCTTTCACACCTCAGAGACAGCCTTCAGTTTCAAGCAGAGCATAGAAACCTCTGCAGAACTGACTTTCAAAGGTAAAAGATGAAATCCCTTTTGCATGCCATGTCGCAGGGGGTTCATTCCAGGCTAAAGAGCGACGATTTTATGCTCTCAACAGAACAGAGCATCAGGCACAGCAACCTCTAGAAACGACACCCACTATCAGTTCGTTATATTGCATGCCTCGGGACATGGGTCACATGCGACGGGATTGGTGGGACCCGCGCCGAGGTTGAGTTATGACGTAAATTTAGTAGCGCGCGTCGCTCATAACTTCGACTTCAGAACATCCGTCACCTTTTCTTATTCACAACTCATCTGTCATGCCATGCACCTTCGCATAACATGATTTCACAGCGACTACATTTACCAGCGATTATAAGCGAATCATTTTAATCTGTTGTTGCAATGTCATCTCAACAGGCTCTCAATGCCCTCGGACACGCCGTATCTGGCTCGATAGGCACAGCCATATCAACCGCATCTTTATATCCATTGGACCTTGTCACCACACGATTGAAGGCGCAACGGAAAACTGGTGCCTCTGCGGACAACTACGATGGTGTTATATCCGCCTTGCGCGGGATTCCTGCGAATGAAGGCGGACTCAAGGCTCTTTACAGCGGGCTGGGAACAGACGTAGCCAAATCGGTCGTGGACAGTTTTCTATTCTTCGGTTTCTATAACTACTTGCGACCCCGGCATCGGAAATCCACCATTGTTGAGGAGCTTCTCGTTGGGGCTGTCGCTGGTGGTTGTGCTCGAGCATTGACCACTCCCATTTCCAACGTGGTAACGAGAAAGCAGATGTTGGGGAGTGAACAATCATTTATTGAGATCCTTTCTGAAATCCGAAAGGAGAGTGGCCTAATTGGCCTCTGGTCCGGTTACTCAGCTACTCTGATGCTTACTCTCAACCCCAGTATTACATTCTTTGTCAATCGCCGGCTCGCAGCACGCATCATACCAGCGCTCGAAGAAGAAGATGTACCGGTAGCATGGATCGCTTTCTTGATTGCCGCTACAAGCAAGGCCAGTGCTACTGCTATCACATATCCTTTCCAGACGGGCAAAACCCGCCTCCAGGTGGCGAGTAGCTCGGGCGAGTCAGCAGGCGCAGTATCGGGACTCCCAAAAGATGGAGGCGTGAAGCATAAGCATGTGTTGAGAAGAATCGTCGACTTTCTCAACCAGTCCATATATGGCGTCATCATTCGCATTATCAAAAACGAGGGCGCGAGAGCATTATATGCTGGACTTCGGGGAGAGCTGCTGAAAAGCTTTTTCAGTCATGGATTGACAATGCTCACCAAGGGTGTCATTCACAGGTTTGTCGTTCGCGCGTGGTTTATGATATTATTGCCTCGTCTACGACAAAGGAGATTGCAGACGAAGTAACGAGATATGCAGTCTGTCAGAGTTCAGCATTGAAAAGCGACACTTGATCGTTCTACAGTATTGCCTCCGTGGGCTGAAAAGCCAGTGCCCTCGGACTGGAGAGCAACAAAACCCGGTATCGAAGAGCCCGAAGCAGTATCCTGTTTTTGTGACTTTGAGGTCAGAGGTACGTCGCAGACGTAGCAGGTCAGGGGCGGGTTGTCCTCAGAAGATGCCTTCTTGGAAGGCGGGACCATGAACTGTTTGACGCAGCTGTGGCACAGGACGTGGCCGCATTGTTTGGCCAGCATGGGGTTGGAGGCGTTGGTAAGCATCTTTAAGCATGAAGGGCAGGCTCTTTGCTTGCCCTTGGGCGTTTCCTCTTCGGTGAATTTGATTGTAATGAGATTTTGCATTGTGATTGGGTGCGGGTTCCCAGCCGAAGAAGCTGGGCACGTTGGAACTGTTTTGTCCTTCTTTGTTACTGGTGGGAGGTTGCTTGATTGGGCATCCGGTGTCAGTGACGGGGTCCAGAATGATGGAAGATGCGGTTTCGCTGCCTGTACAATAGAACGTTAACACCGAAAACGGATGATTTCATGATTGGATATCTCACCTTCTCTTCGTTCAGTGATTTTCTTGCTTTGATTTTGTCCTCCTGCGCAATGCGATCCAATTCGTCTTGATCAAGCTTAAACTTGCGTTTCGTTGCTGGCACTAAAGCGAGGGCGTTTGGCTCGTCGACTCTTGTATTCGGCTTCTCGTCATTCATCTCAGTTGCATTGCCCTTCGTCTTCTTCCGGTCCAGGCCAGCCTGTGTCAACTCAAAGTCCTGAATCGCACGTGCTTGCTCCTGTTCATCTTCATGCGCCTTCAGCTTGGCGGCTTCGTCCTCTGTAGCAGCGCGGGCCTTTTGGACGCGCTTGATATCTTTCTTTTGAGTGAGAATATTTGAAAGTGCGCATTCGCGACAGAAGATATCGCCTCGACGACATGAGACAGGATCACGGGCGATGTTGAGACATAGGCCACAAGAACCGAATGGGAGGAATGAGTCGCGGTGCAGACGGGCGGATGACGATGACCAATGGGATTTTGCGAGGGCGCGTTCGTGAGACGTGAATACCGGTCGCGAGGTGTTACGTTTGCCTATAGGTGTTGAATTAGCATTATTGTTTGATTGACATGTGGTATCATTAAAGGCGTACTGTGTGCGGATACCATGATTTATATGCAGCTCAAGAAGCTTTGCGGTGACGTCGAGAGTGGTTTGGAAGAGTAAACTCGTGGATGTGTTTTGAGTTATGTGACTGTAACTGTAAAGTATTCGGATAGAAGTATCGCGTCAACCGAGATCATATCACTGATTAGGATACGGCGATGCTAGGGGTCAGAACGACGTCAGGATGTAATGTAGAAACTTGTGAGTTTGGGAACTGGAAGGAAAGATGTGCTTCTATAGGGTAGGCGCCTATCGATAGGGAGGTATATTACTGGGAAACGGCTGCAGGTGGGTCCCATCACTGCCGCTTCTCTCCGAGATCAAGAAATGCTTTGAAACTTGGATTTTGCTTCGTTCCGCTCGACATACTTCCACCATAGCTCATCTCACTTGGTTTATAAATTTCTGTGCTATGTTTTGACATACACTATCAGTTGTGTAAATCATGTCGGATCCTGAGCCACCTACGCAGCCGAGTTTACCATGGCGCATAGCCTCAGTGGCTGTCATGGGCGCAGTTGGCGGACTTTCAAGAGGGTTTATGAATGGGTTCAACAACCTTGAAGTCACAGGTCTCGACGGACTATTGGGTGTTCTTGATCGTCGGAGAAATGAGGGACGTGAGCGCGGGTTGCTCACTGTGTGTAATCACGTTGCAGTGTGAGAGCGAAACGGCTTTGTCCATTATAATGAGTTTGATGGCTAACAAGTCATCTCTAAATAGACTTGATGATCCTCTCATATGGGGTATTTTACCACTACGTTACTTCTTTGATGCAGTCAATATGAGGTGGGGCCTCGGTGCTCACGATATTTGTTTCAAGAATAAGTAAGTTTCAAGATCATCATATTTAAAATCGAGTATTGGCTGACATCGCGAACGATAGGTTCACATCTACATTCTTCAGTCTGGGACAAGTCCTTCCCACACACAGACTGTGGTATTCCCCATATGGCGGCTTAAATCAGCCAACTATGACACAAGCTATCAAGTTGCTGTCTGGTCCATCACCAGCATCATGGTCAACCGCTTCAGACTCTCCGCTATCTGCGACTCCTCCTTCAACACAACCTCCTCCTATGTCTCAACCACTCTTCTTCTCAACAAACGGCGTCGATCAGATCCCGGCGCCATCTGCATACCGAGATTACCGTAACGCTTGGGTCCACGTATTCCCTGAGGCTTGTTGTCACCAGAGCCCGGACAGTGGGTTGCGCTACTTCAAATGGGGTGTGTCGCGACTGATTCTCGAGTCTGACCCTGCCCCCGAGTTCATCCCCATGTTCGTTCATGGTACTCAACAAATAATGGCCGAAGACAGAGGATGGCCGAGATGGGCGCCACGGGTTGGAAAGACAGTGAGGATAGTGATAGGCGAACCAACCGATGTTGATCAAGTCTTTGGCCATCAGCGGGCTGCATGGCGCAAGCTTGTCGCAAAAGGGGATCCAGAATTGCTCCAAAACAGCCCGGAAGCTACTGAATTAAGAATTTCGGTGGCAAAGAGAGTGAGAGACGAAGTCGAAAAGCTGAGAGAAGGTTTGGGGTTTCCAGCGGAACAGGGTGAAGCACCGGCCCTGGCAGAGACATGGGCCAGGGAACCTCTTCAGACAAAGTTCAGGAGTCCTGTTGACGGAAGTCTTGTAAATAGACATGGTCCTAAAAAATAAAGCCCAGTGCAAAAACCATGGATTTCGCTTATGTAGAATGACAGGCTTGGGAACGTGGGCCGTTCAACAAGCCCCTTAAACTACCATGACATTAGTTGTTGCCGATACAAAAACAGCAAATGACAAAATCCATGACAGCGGATATGCCGCTGCCCCCAAAATCTGATATCCTTCTGCTCCCCGTCTAGTTCATATTGACCACAAACTCCATTGTGCTTGCAAAACGCTACACGATATTCCCGTGTTTTTTTTGTTAAAGATACTGTATTACAAAAACAAACAGTTCAATCCAAAGAGGGCTTGACATGTATGCCTTTGACGGTGGGCTACGGTATGCCAATGTCAGCAGTAGTAGGACTAGTACGTATCGAATCCTTGGCTGGGAACTGCTTGAGGGTATGCACGGGCCTGCGCTTGGAGCTGTTGTTGAGGGTGCACTAGCAGATCGTTGAACCAAGCGTGCTGGAGGGCGTCGTGGGCACTGATCCTCAACTCCGGTCGAAGCTGAAGCATCCTTTGCAAAAGGTCGATACCCGTTGGATCGATTGTCTGGAGAATATTCCGGAGGTCCTGAGTAGCATACATATGGAATGTTGGCTTGTACTCGGGGAATTGGGTAATGCCGGGCCAGGTGCGCTCTGTCGGTGTGCCCATGATACGGAAAATGCGAACGATTTGGTCTTCATTGGTGGTTCCGGGGAATAGCGGCCGACCCGTAAACATCTCAGCCATGATGCAGCCCGCTGACCAGATGTCGATGCTGGTGTTGTATGTACGGCTACCGAGTAGGACATCAGGGGCGCGATACCAGAGAGTGACGACTTCGTTTGAGAATGTGTTGACAGGAATACCAAAGGCGCGGGCGAGACCGAAATCACCAAGCTTCAGAATACCCTTGTTGTTGATCAGCAGGTTCTGGGGCTTGAGATCACGGTGGAGAACACGGTTCTGGTGGCAAAAGTCGATACCCTTGAGGAGCTGGTACATGAATGACTTGATGGTGGTTGGTTTAAGAGCACCGCGCTCGCCATGCGTGTCCATATACCTCTTCAGATCGCCATCCATGAATTCAAAGACGAGCATGAGCTTGTTCTCCGTATGAATAACATCATGTAGCCCGACAATATTCTCATGCTTGAGCTCCTTCATAAGCGAGATTTCTCGGATGGCGGTCGACGGGGTGCCTTCTTCAGAGTCGAGGTGTATTTCCTTGAGCGCGACAAGCTCTCCGGTCTGCCTATTACGGCCCTTGAAGACGGTGGCATAAGTTCCCTCACCCAGCTTCTCGAGCTGCTGGAACGAGCTGGGATGCCGTTTTCCGTCCATGGTATATGTGTAGGTGGACGTTTGTTCGGTATCTATTAACGAGACTGAGACGACAGGTGTAGGAAAATCGAATGAGGATGGCGTGTCACTGATTTTCTAGGACTGTGAGGTGGGTAAAAAGTGTTGGAGACTCAAAAGGTTTTGTTCCAGTTCCGGATTTAGATTTGGATCGGACGAGGTTATAATAGAGAGAGATTCAAGAGCCTCTCTGTGATGGTTGATGGATTTATTGGTGATGACTGAGTCAGAGGGAAAAAATAAAACTGCTCCCTGGTCTAGAAATGTCGCCCTTGCCGGATGTTCTCGCTTTGGGTGTCGCAGACGGACCTCTTGCGTGTATGAAACCGCAGCTGAGAGTCGGAGATGGGTTGAGTAATTGTTCCAAAGCCGATAAACGAATGGAATGATTCTTGTTGTATGGTCTTTGTTGCCGCCCAATAGAGGGGAATCAGTGGTCCAGTCACAATGTGTTGAGAAGGAGGGGATCGACAGAAACGGACCAGATTCTGACCAGCGATAACAGTGCGCTCAACGTGAAAAGGGAACTAGCGGGTGTCAATTGGCCATAGCGTGTCACGGGTCGCAGTTAGCGTCGTCATATCAGAGGCACAAGCACCTGGCTATGGGGTTCCAGGCACCCCCACCTACCAGATAAGGTATCTATCTACGTGCTGGGGCTGTAAATTAGAAGCTCCTGCTAGACGTAGGTATGTGCTCAGGGAGGTCCCCCCATGTTCTCCCCCATAGAAGGGGCATGTACCGGGGGTTGTCCCGTCTGAGCTGAGGCAAGTATATACCAGTGTCGTTGAGTACTAGAGGTATGTATCATAGATACATGCCTACGGCTCGCTATTCACTTTCTTTGTCCTTCTTCTTTCTATCACATCCATCACTTTTGTCTATTGAAATCTATCTTCGTTGCGTTTGCACAAACATTCGTCGGCTTACGTGCTACGCTAGTCCTACTTAATCACGTTCAACCTCGAATATTCGCTTCTCATCTCCTTCTTTCCCTTGTTGCACTCGAATTCTCGTACCTCTTCTCACTTCTTCCACTACGAGGCGTCGTGATATGCACCTAACAGTACAAATCGCCTCTGCATCCTTTTTCGTATAAACACGCCGCTGAGGCCCTTTCAAACATAACAATGAGACCTGTCTTGCCTACGAATCATCCCCTCAACACCCGGGCTCCAGACCGGACAGATAGTTTGGTACGCGGTTCTACAACAGTCCCTACTACGTGCTTCATTACCACCGAGGCAGACCTTGACAATCGTCGAGATCGCTCCCGCCCGCGGTTTCGCCAGCAAAGCGATAAGCGCAAGTGTAGTCGTAACTCACGCTGCCCATCAACCCCGCGCCAGCGACGTTCGCCTCATCGTACCGTTAACAAGCCTACGTCTCCTGCTTCGGAATCGGACGAGTCGGAGGAACTGGCCGCTGAACAAGAACCCTTCCATTTGCTATCTCAACCAGGCACTCCATCTTTGATCGGGCTCTCGCATTCCGGGTCTGTCATGAGCATGTCTTCGCAAAGTTTCTCCCTCGCTGGGCCCTCTATTGATGCTCAAAGTGATTTGGGTCAGCATGCATCTCTATCTGTGTCAGACTTGGCGTACAACGACGAAGCCGACCAAAACACGATACCTCAATTCATCATGCCCAGCTTGACGGTTCCTCGACGCCGTCCCTTTTCCGAGGTGGGTAAATCCCTGGGCAAACTGAAAATCATGGTAGCTGGGCAAAGTGGTAAGTGAATAATTCGCAAAATGGACTAGACCAATCTCTAATCTTGCGCAGGTATTGGCAAAACCTCACTTATCAAAACTTTGGCAGAACGTTGCGAGCATATCGTACACATGGACCCAATAGAGGATCACAACGCAGTCCATGCTACCGAGACATACGCCAGTTCTCGTCCGCAGCCATGGTGGCGATCTGATTCAGAGCTCACTGTAACAACACGGAAACGACTTTCAGCTACTGGTGATGTCCTAGATAGAAACGTGTGTTTCGTCGAAAGCCCGGGTCACCAACATGGCACCTCTGTACGTAACACCACAACAAACTGCCACTGTTGCATGCTAATAATGTCTCAGGGACCCTGGCGTGATCTTCATTACGTCGAGTCGCATTTGACATCCCTCATGAATAAACCCATGGCTGACTTGGATCTCTTTAATTTGGTAAACTCTGGCGGGGAACCAGTTGTGGACACTTTGCTCTACCTCATCCCCCATAGTGGTAAGTTCATTCGTCACAATCGGAAGGCGTTCACTAACGTGTTTAGGACTCGGACAAGAAGATGCAGAGTATATCAAACGCGCTCAACGCATGACGAATGTTATCCCTATTCTTGCCCGGGCTGATGAGCTCGATCCGGAAAAGATTATGCATATCAAGCAACAAGTGGTGAAGTATCTGGTCAACAAGGAGGTCGACTTCTTCTCTTTCGAAGGCCCTAGAGCCTCAGAAGAGTCGGAGTGCGTGTACGCTGTCTCTACAGAATCCCAACCAGACCATGACACTATGGATGCCAGTGTCCTCATGAACTCCGATTACATCGCGCCGCTGGTTCCGACTGATTTGAACCGATTAGTTGATCATATCTTCTCTTTGGATGGCAGCGCTCGACTACGCCATTCCACAGCTGTTAAATGTATCAAGTGGCGTCGCGACCATGGCGACAACTTGCTACAAAACGCCCTATCGAGCGGGACCGTGGTATCGCGATCTATTCCCGAAAGGGCGTGGAGATTGAGGTCATTCAGACGAACTCCAAGTTGGGACCGATTGGAACTTTATAATTGGGCAAATAACCTACGTCAGAGTCTCCAGTCAGAAAGACTCTACCACCTGATGGAAGAGAGAGCTATCTCAAATGCTGCTGCACGAGAGTCAAGCCTTGTTCATGTTCCTAAAACTCATAAAAAGACTCGTTCCAAGAAACGAAGGGACCCAACGCCTACCCACCAGGATCCCTTGGGTCTACTGGATATAGGAGGAACTCTTAAACAGAAAGGCATGCTTGCATTAGAAATGGTCAGCAGCGTTGGTTTGGTTGGGCTGGTGGCCTCTAAAATTGTGCACACCGGTTTGTCCGACGGGATGTGCTCTGTCATGGAATCGAGGAGAGGCGGCTTTGAAGTTGGTCGGTTGAGCATGGTTCTGTCCTTCTAGAGGGTGAGAGACAGTCTTTGATTTCTCGAAGACAAGCGCGCTGGCTGTGTACGACTCACAACTAGGTACATAACCTATTCAGAAGGCTCGGCAAGGATACAACAGGGAGCGTCTGGATGATGTATAGTTACAAGATACCCAATGAATATCACAATCATATATTTCGCCAACGTGGCTGGTAATACTATCATATCATAACCCAGGATACAGTACAAAAGGTGACGGATATGGCATTACCTTTTACGTCTCTGATGAATTGGACTGGATAGTCAGACATGGCAGTTTGTTTGGGGAAAATCTTGACATTTGTCTGGAAATGGAAAAGAATATGAGAGTTTGGGTCACTATGTCTAGAGTTTGTATATATCCGTGCTTCCCAGTTAACATGACGAGAGTATCTTAGAAATCGTGTCTAGAACGGCGTTTGTCCTCTGGAGGTGGGAATCCAAGTGCGGTCATGGCCGCCTTGAGATCAGGCATATCGTCTGCTGTTCTTGCCACCTGCACCCAACGGACAGTTCCATCACGGTCAACAGCAAAAGCCCCGCCTGTCTGCCATCGCGAGCCGCTCTCTGTCGGTCTGTTCCATATGCCCTCATTCTTACCGAGACTGAATACATTCCACATTGTGAAGGGGTTCACAGCATGCCATGTCGATGAGATACCCAAACCCCATTTGGCATACAGATCTCGCTCCTCATCGATTACCATGTCAACGTTCCAAGTACCACCGACTTGAGGCAGCCATTTGTCTGTGGCTTCTTCTGATGAGTGGGAGACAGCAATACAGTGGACATTTGGGACCTTGTCTGAGAGGTCGGTAAGAGACCTGAAGGTTTTCTCAGCAACTTGAGAAGTATGTTAGCAGCAAGACCCTGGCAAAATGGACAGGTCGGATTAGTTACAAGGGCATCCACAGTGGCGGAGGAATACTACTAATGTAGGTTTTCCATCTGGTAAACGGAGATATTGAGACCATGGCGCTTTAGATCCGACTTCTACTGTAGGGCCGACTTCCTTGGTGACGGGTGTCTTCCATGAGTCGAGTTCCGTCCAGAACCCAGTGTTTGTGTTTGTATCGCCAGTAGCAGTGGCACCGGAAGTATCTTGAGACATTTTATGAGAGTGTGTTTCTTTGCTGGAATATTGTATGGTTTTATATAGAGAGCGAGATGATAAATGGTTCTTTCAGGTCCGTGAGTTTTGAGCTCCATACGGACACCTCGTGATGTTAATGAATGCTATAAGTGCTACCGCGCCAATGACATAATGGACTCCCACTATTTAGTAGTTACCTCACTGCCGACACTGTCCTACTAGTACCCAGACAGACCAGAGACAACCGGGAACTCATAGAAATTTATCTATTAAATTAATAACTCGTTTCTGAGCAGATGTATGAGAATCCTTAATAGCATTTTCTCATAGTTAAAAGCTAAATATCTCGTTGATGAATTGAATGATTAGATAAGCTTCTTAGGGTATGATGTAGAAATGCTGGCCCTCAGTGTCTAGGGTAATTAATTGTGTGTACTAGTTTCATCTCTACCAGTCTTTGTAGAATGAAACTAAGACTGTTTACATATCATCGAGATATCGATATTCTGGTCGCTATTTAGTAGATCCATTTCCTCGGTTGTCTTAAAGAGCCTGAACTATTAAAAGAACTATACAATGCGAGAAATCGTCACCCTGCAGCTGGGTCAGCTCAGCAATTACACAGCTACTCACTTTTGGAACACCCAGGTATCGTACTGTCCGACACCAGTACTCAATATGTAACAACTAATTAGACCAAAGGAATCTTACTTTACATACTCCAGTAATGAGAAATCTCCCATCGACCATAACGTTCACTGGCGTGCTGGTTTAGGTGCCGATGGCTCTGAAACCTTTCTCCCACGAACTGTCATATACGACCTCAAAGGCGGCTTTGGCTCGTTACGCAAGATCAACGCACTCTATGAGGCCGAATCAGAGTCGGCTCCAGAGGCATTATGGTAAGCATCCGGATCGTAACAAGCTTGCAGTCCTCCGATATGTTGCTGACTCTTCCACAGGTCAGGCCAACCGGTTGTGCACAAGCAGACGCCTATCGACCCCAGCGCATACCAGCAGAGTCTGGATGCAGGTGCTGAACCTGCACAGCTGACAACCTCAAACGTGCGATACTGGTCTGATTTCTCCCGAGTCTATTTTCACCCAAAGTCGTTGAATCAGCTGTATGATTTTGAGCTCAACTCGACCACCATGCCCTTTGAGCGATTCTCCATGGGAACAGAACTCTTCTCCATGCTCGACAGGGAACATGAGCTCGTGGACCGCGACTTCAGACCCTTTGCGGAAGAATGTGATCGAATGCAGGGGATACAAGTATTTACTACCATCGACAATGCCTGGGGCGGTTTCACATCTTCATACCTCGAGTCTTTGAGGGATGAGTTTCCAAAAACAACCATCTGGACCTGGGGCCTGCAAAGCCCATTGCTCGATATCTCCCGAGCTAAGCGCCAGCTTCGCCTCGCGAATACCGCTCACAGCATCGAACAACTCTGTACACAAGCTTCCACAGTCGTTCCTTTGGCCCTGCCTGAAGAGGACATGCCAGCTTCAGTATCCATGGATCGTCGGTCACCCTGGCATACATCTGCTCTTATGGCGGCCGCTATAGAGACGGCCACTCTGCCCTCGAGACTCGCACAGGGATCTTCAGAACAGGCAGGCTCACTAGATGTGCTGGCCGAGAGTTTGAACGTCAATGGAAACCAGCCTCTGGCGAGCATGCGCATGTCTCTAGCACCCGTGAAAGATTCACCAAAAGGCAGCCGCATCAACGTCGATTTCTTCCAAATAGGGAGAGTTTGGAGCAGACAGCACATTGCTAGGCTCGATACTCACAAGCACGTTTTTGGTGAAATCTTGTCTTGTCGAGATCTTGATCCCCTGGGACACGATGATGAGGATGCCCCTAAGCATCTTGCTCTCGGGGAACGCCCTATAATAGGGAACTCGATCGTACGAAAGTATGTCGTTTTTGTTTACTATGTGCTTGGTTGATGAATGGATGTTAACAGTGAACTAGGTATGACTCAGCTCTCAGATTCCCTTTGCTGGACGCCTACCCTCAGATTTACCCCCAGCTGGCGGGCAATTCCGACGTCAGTCTACAGACTACACTTTCAACCAACAGCTCCATAGTGCAACGCATTAGAAATCTACGGACAGAATCTGCCCGCCTCGTATCAGTCAACGAGAGGGAGGACCTTGGCAATGGTTTGGCAGAGCTGGCGGATGCCTATCAGGAGGGCTGGTTCAGTGGCAGCGATGAGGATGATGATGATCTATAAGGGTGGGAATACCTAATCTAGAACGACACATTCATAAAAGCCGCGATGGCTGGTCACTGAATTGTGAATTGAACAAGACTTTGAGCGAAATTCAGGGGCTCTTTGCGCCCCCCAAGCGTTGTATTGATCTAGTAAGGCCACGTTCCTAAGTACATATGAAATTGATGTAGGATTACAGCTTCAAGAGCATGGTATCGAGGCAGCTCCTAACCTTGGTCATGTTGTAATGAACAACATGCGTATCGCTTTTGCCAGCTGCCTTTCCGTAAATTACGGTCGCCTCTGCTGATATTAATATAGATTATTCAATCTTCCATTCGTTGCAGTGCCACCGGCAATGCGTTGGTAGATCAGGATGCGACTGCCAACTTACCAAGTTGATGCAGTTCAGTCCAGATGAAGGGGTACTTTTTTTTATATCTTTAAGTTAGTGTGGTTGTTTGTCAAAGCCCAGTCGTGAAGCCGCTTATGGACTTGCCGGTTCTTTATATGTGGTGCAAAGTGCACATCCAGGTTAATGTCCAAGTCTTTCGAGTCGGTCATCTCTTGACATGTCCGGTGTGTGTAAAGCTGCTCAGCCCGCGGCCGCAATCGAAGATTGCTGTCTCTTTGCAGGGGGCGGCGTTTCCTAGGGACAGCATTAGTACGATGCGTCAGGTCAGAGGAGGTGCCGTTTGGAACAGGGCAACGTCGCCAGCAATGGGAGTTCGCGTGGTGATGCATAAATACCTCTGGGGGTCCGCGTTTCTTGTTGTTTGCTGCGCCCTTAGCTGCAGACTTTTTCTGGGGCTTTTTCTCGCCGTCCTCGAATACGTCATCTGGTAGGTTGAAACTATTTCAAGGTCAGCAAGCCATGGTGTACTGGTGTCTGGAATACATGTGCAGAACTCACTTTCGGACGTGTTGAATACCGATAGACACAACATCCTTCAAATCATCCTTGTATTTTTGCCAAGAGGTACAGAGTTCCTTGAATTCCTCGACCTGATAAGACAGATCAAGTGATTTGGCGCCTGTAGAGTTAGTGTTGGATACCGTCGAATCGCTGCAGAGCTGCCGGAACCGTGCCGGGGGCAGTACTTACCAGCGGCCAGCTCCAGACCGATGTAATGTGTGGTCGTGTAAACATCAGTCGCACCGCTTACCGCAGATGTTTCCGAAGGTTTGGAATCGTTGGGTGTCTCAGATTTGATGAGTTCGGCGGTGATAGGATCATTATCTTCTGTAGTTTCAGATTTGACAGTCAATCCATTCTCACCACTCTCAGCTTTGATGGATTTACCGTTCTCCCCATTCTCAGTCTTAATTGGCAATTCGGCTACCGCAGGCTCAATCTTGATAGTGGTAGGCTCCGTGGCATCTTCCTTACACAAAAAGTCAAGGCTACCTTCCTGCACAGATTCGATTTCCTTCTCGTTCTGACATCGGTGGTGTCGCTCGTATCCCTTATTGAAAGGATGGGCCAGAGCAATGGATTGATGCTGCTCGAGCTTCTGTACCAACATTCGGACCTTGGATTCGACATAGCCGGACCAAATTGTGTGGGACTCTTTTGTTTTCGCAGCGGAGACCACGGAGATGTAGTATTTGTAACCGGCTGTGAAGAACGAATGCTTGGCGAAGAGATCGCTCCAAGGGCGTGTGCCGACCATGATGCTCTCCGAGATCTGGAGAGCTCGTTTGAGTTCTCGATTGATGATTGTCATCGACGAACGGGTGATATTGAAGGTTGCGCACATTGAAGGATAGGCGGGAGTGATGACTGGCATAAGATGAAAAGTGTCACCTTTATATAACTGAAGAAAATGGGATTAGCAGGTTGTTTCTTAGTTGGTATTGAGATTACACATACCTTGGGGTTCCAAACACGAACGGGCAGAGGACCGCCCTCAATTGGCTTGAGAAGAACAGGTTGCGGCCAGCGCCACTGACTAATAACCAGGAAAAATTTGTTGACGATAACTGCTGGCGTAGCTTTGGGATAAAGTTGGCAGACGCGCGCGACAAGCATGGCCCATGCTACACCACCAGGGAAGCCCATAATGTTGGCATAAACGGCGCGGCGTTGCGCCCATAGTTTGATCGCTCGTAAAGCGTTTTTGAAAGTGCTTTGCTCCGGTACCAGGGTGAGAATTTCATCCGTTACTCGCGTGCCGTTGAGAGACCGCAGCTCTGCTTCATCCAGTCCGCGCAGCAAGCCAGAGTCCTTGAGATCCTTAAAGTCCGGTGCCAATTGCTTCTGGATGATCCTGGAGAAAATCAAATCGATACTGATGCCGAAGTACTCAAACTTGATAATAGGAACAAACGCATCAGTCACAACAGCCATATCGGTGATTGCGTCCTTGGGAGCCATCGAGACCAGCAAATCGGGAAAATATTTGAAATAGTCCTCCCGGGTTACGTATTTGGGCGCGACGATAAGGGTATCAATATCGGAGCCGGGACCATAAACACCAAGTCGGTAACTGCCGTACGTGAAGACTCTGCCTCTCGCATTTCGAACGAGAACTTCGTTCTTGGGTTCTTTCTCTTCGGCGACTCGGCGGACGAATGCATCGCAAATGATTTGGATCGAGGCTAGGACTTCTTCTCTGTAGCGAATGGATTAGATGGTGATCGCGACGCGCTCGAGATGCATTGACTGACCTTTTGGCTGTCTCTGCCGGGCTCTCGAATGTCTTTTGACGTTTGAGCTCTTCCAGAAGAGCGTCAGACTGACGCAACTCTGCCTCAGTTGGAAGCTGAACGGAAATTGGAGGCGTTACGCCGAAGGCCTGTTCAGATGACATGGCTCTACTGCAGCAAGTACTTTGATCGATGATGCGTAATTGAAAATCGGTATGAGAAGACGGTTAAGGAGCGACAATGGTTGGAAGGAAACCTGGGGCCAAGCCAGGCGCGGGCGATCGAGCGAGGATTGAAACAACAGAGACCAGTTGGGTGGAATATAGTCGGCTCGGTTTACTTGGAAGACTGATTACACTACAACAGCTTTCAAGCCTCTCCAAGGGTACCGTTGCGCAAGGGAGAGGCTGGGCTTGAGAGGGCGATTCCGTTTCGGTATGAAGAAGAATATTGGCGATGGTCGGTTCTCAAGGGTAAAGAATAAGATCGAAGTAATACCGTGAGTTGTTGCTGTGTGATGAAAGAAGGTGGTTTTTTGTTTGGTATTTTTTTTCTGGGTAACGAAAGAGTGTTCTGGCTGACTACCTTAGCAGGTACAATAAGGCACAACGAGGCTGCACAAACGCGACGTACCTAAACTAGGTCCCCGCCGACAACCTGCAGACATGGATATTGGTCAACTGGAGGTTTGTGGATAAACGGACGTGCCGGTAAACTAAGGTTCGTTCCTTGTACCTGTATATTGTACCTTTGCTGACTTATTTAATTGACTATATTTTCGAGGGGCAGATACAATATCAATAATTGGTTTGACCTATCCGCTGTTATCTCAACGGGAGGTCTGATTCATTGTTTTGTATCCCTTAGTATTAGCTGACACTGAACACAATCAGAGTCAAAAGCTCAATAAACAAACAGCCCTCTAATCTCGAGGCTGGAGTTATTCAAGGTTACGCATGTGCATGTGCATGTGCGCATGTACACATCACATCACGCAAAAGTATGGGGGAGCCCAGAATATTCAATTATCAGGGAAAAGCTGCCTGGAGACACTAACAACACTCTCTGCATGTGCAGTGAGTCCTCCACTGAAACCCACTAAATACTATGTGTATGAAATTCCTCAAGGCACTTACCTGAGGATATCACTAAAACCTAGGTAGAAATAAATGAGTAACATTAGCAGAATTGCTCAATTTGAACCATCAAGTTAAAACACAATCATACCTACCAATCTGCAACAGAATCAGACTGGTAACCTCATCATTCTTTTTTAGATATCAAACCCAACCGACCAACTACAAGGTACAACTTACCTGCCCTGCCTTGCCTTGCCCTGCCTTCCTCCCCAATGACGTTGTCTGCGCTAGTGGGACCCCCTTACAGACAATTCACTATACATACGACCACAGCGGGCAACCAGCCCCTTGTCAGGTATGTTACTGATCGAGGTGTCTCGAATTCACTCAACGGGGTTCGAATATGCACAAATCGGTACATGTACCCACATCCCAGCCCACGGTCCTGCTATGGCCCTGCCACTCAATGACACTAAAATTCAACGCGAACGCGGTGCGAACTTTAAAAGGCATTTATTTGCTACAGTGCCTACCTATGGTACCTAGTCTAGTCAGTTAGACGATCCAATACGTTGGGTTGGTTGATTGACGACACGACTTTGCTGCCCGTTCACTTCAACCTCAAGGGCACAAAAAACGTCCATCGCCAGGGAGACTTACAATATTGCTGACGGTCAAATTTCCACAAACGCTTTCGAAAAAAACTTAGCTCTCTCGTTTTGTTCTTTTTAAATCTCGCCGTTACACATCTGTTTGTCGATATACGCTATCTAATCTGCAAGCTCTGACTCTGCGCACCATGCCACCATCGGCAAAGAGAGCCTCTAGGGCTCGTCGCGAACCGCGTAAAGCCGCGACTGCGACCACAGTTACTTCGCCAGTCGACGTCGAAATCGAAGAGTCCTCGCCCAGTCGTCCAGCAAAACGTCGCAAGAAGGTGCGTTGCATATACTGCCACTGTTACATTCGCGCCTACGTCCGCACCTGCTGACTTTGACTGTTCCTGTCCTTCCAGGTCCTAGAAGACGAAGAACCCCCCGCGCCCAACGACGATCAACTGGTATCGCAAATCACGCAGCACCTTCGCAGCCAAGATGTGCAAGCTAGCAAAGACCATGCAAATGTCATTCACGAGGCCAAAGGCGACGGCGTCAAGGCTTATGCCAAAGTTGCTGCACAAGATTGGACATTCTACATCACCAAACTCAATGTCAATATAGGCCGAGCTCCCGAAACTTCACACAACTCGCAGCCTGTCGGCTCAGAAGAGGACGATTCATATATTCACATCGATCTGGGCCCCAGCAAAATGGTATCGCGCGAGCATGCCACCATCTCTTTCGATTCCAAGGACGAGAAGTGGTTTCTTCGTGTCAAAGGCCGCAATGGTGCCAAGGTGGATAGCCAGCCCGTCAAGGCCGGCCAGTCGCACCCTCTCACAAGTGGCGAGGTTATTGAGATTGGAAATGTCGAGATGATGTTCGTCCTGCCATCTGAAATCACTCCTTTGACTGTTCACCCCGTCTATCTACAACGCGCCGGCGTTAGCGTTCATACCCCACAGTCCCGGGCATCACGCCGGCAGCCTCTCATTGCGCCGGCACCTCCTGAATATAAGCGACCGGGAACACCCCCATCGACTCAGATTGCCATCAAGTCACCGGCTACAAGTACACCGGCTGTCATGGTTGGCGCCAATGGTGTTGACCTGAGCCAGGATGAGAACCAGCACATTAAACCACAATACAGCTATGCTCAAATGATAACGCAGGCTATTCTGAACGCGCCCGATGGAAAGCTCAATCTGAACGGCATCTATAACTACATCATGAACACGTATGCGTACTATCGTCATCAGCAAGCTGCTGGCTGGCAGGTAAGTCTCACTGGACGTATACAACCCCTGTTCGACCGCTCACATCTTATAGAACTCGATTAGACACAATCTCTCGCTCAACAAGTCATTTGACAAAGTTGCTCGGTCGACAGATGAGCCCGGAAAAGGTATGAAGTGGCAGATTGTACCTGAAGCCAGGGAGGAGATGGTACGGAATGCCTATCGTGTCGGTCGCGGCGGTCACCGTGGATCATCCGCCCCCTCATCTCCAAATCAACTTGCCTATATCACACATGGCCCAAGGGACATGGCGTCGAGAGAACCCCCGTCGGCTCGTAAGCGACGGGGCTCGCCTCCTGCTTCACCACCCCCAAAACCCTCGCTACTCATTGCCCAGTCAACGCCAGACCGGTCTTTTGGCAGGAGTGCGACTATGACAATCGATGGAAGCCCTTTACCTCGCCCAAGAAAGACACCAGCAAGGGACTCATCATTCTCTGGCTACAATCCACAATCTCCTACCCTAACGTCATCATACCTTCAAGAAGACGGAGGATCATTTGTGACACCGGCTCCTCCTAGGATGCACCCCAAGCTCGCACCGCCGAGCACAGCTCAACGACCTAGCCAGCACATGCCTACCAGTTCGCCAGCGCCCTTCTGGAAGTACGCAGATATTGGTAGTACGCCATTGAAACCGCTTGGCGGTTATGACATAAGTCCTACTAAAGCTGGGGGTGTCCTGCCCCAGAGTAGCAGTCCGCCGCGTGGAGATAAGTCTCCCTTAAGCAGTCCTTCTCGACCTCAAAAGTCAAGTCCACAACCCCTCACTGAACCGACGGAGGCCGAAGAAGAACAAGGCTTTGACCTGACAAAGTAAGTAATTTGTTTCTCAGGTTCCGTGATGTATTGCTAACATAATGCTTCAGGGGGTTTCAGAGTATCGGTTCGTACCATGCACCAGTTGGTGGGGGTGCTTCCATTTTGCAAGGCCATACGTAGGTTGCCCTTCATGATCTGGCGTTAATGTTGTTGATGGGTTGGGTCTTGGCCGGTGTTTGTACCATATTTCACCAGCTTGTGAGCGCACATAATGTTAGCGTCCAAAGAATGTTGATGACAGTAATGAATGCAATGTCTTGAGGCCTTTGGTTGCCCTGCATAAAAGTACTTTGATATTTAAACACGAGTGTGCATTAGTACTATTTGACGATTTGAACTTCAACAAGAAGCGGCAAAACAACTTTTTTGGAAGTGTGAACACAATATATAAGAGTGAAGATGGTCTGGCCAGTGGCCAACAGCAGAGCCATGGATAGATATATGTACAAATTTTGAGAACGCGCCTATTGATGCAAATACGTGTGCACGCGCCGCCGTGCGTCCGACCATACCACCAACCGTACCAAACCCATGTAAAGGGGCCTTTTCTGTGACCCAGCTATCCAGTAACCATATAAATATAATGGAATCCCATGCTTTTCCGGCCGTCTACATTTACACAATAGTGAGCCAATATCTCAACCATATACTAACATCGTGAAATTTTTTTTTGTTGTTAAATAAATGTCAGTTTATCGCGCTCCAGCCTGGCCGCGTCGCTTAGGATTGCCACGGCCGGTACGCTTCTTTGATTGCTGATGTTCGCCACCCTCGATGAACTTTATCAGCTCGTCAATACTGCGAGGATCGACTTGCGAGCCAGGACCAGCGTGGCTAGGCACGACGCCGCTGGGAACGCCTGGGTTCGAGGCATTAGTGTTGAATCGGATTCCACTACGAAGTCGTCGAGTAGCGACATCCTTGGCGTGCTTGGCAATGTTTACAGCGTTCTGAGTGAGCTGTTCGAGCCAGCTTTCAGCCTCCTTGGTGTTCTTATCCTCAGGTCCAAGCTCGGCAAGGAAGACATTGTAGGACTCGCGCATACGAGCCACTGCAGCCTTGGAATCACGATCCAAAGCAAGAGCCTGCGCAAGCTGGAAAAGCAGGGTGGCAGTGTTGATTGACTGCTTGCCGAAAACAGACTCACATACGCGCAGAGACTCCTCAAACCAGAGTCGAGACTCGTGGTATGCCTTGAGGTGCTGGAGCATTACGGCAGCGTTGTTCAGTGTCGTAATAGAGTCTGGGTGGTCAGGGCCGTAGATGATCTTCCACATCTTGAGAGCGTGCTTTGAGTACACAAGAGCACCCTTGCTATCGCCAATCTGGTGGAGGAACAAGCTCAAGTTGAGGTAGTTGAGAAGAGTCTCAGCCGAATCAACGCCGACGGTCCTCTCAGCGACAATAATAGCCTTGCGAGCAAGATCGACAGCAGCCTCCTTCTCATCAAGCTGATAGTACAGCATGGACAAGCTGTTGTATACACGAGCAACCTCAGGGTGCAGAATACCGTAGATCTGCTCATGCAAAGAAAGGGACTCCAGAAGGAGCTCCTGACCAAGCTTCCTCTGGTTCTGGATAAGGGAGATGCGGCCAGCCTCAAGGGCCTCTTCGGCAAGGGCGCTGCGAGGGCATGAGTCCTTGATCAAAGGTACTAGGTCGACAATGTCGTCGGGGCTGAAGGTGTGAACGCTGGCAGTGATCACTGTCTCAGGAGGAGAAGCCTCACGGGCCTTGTTCTTCTTCTTCTTCTTGCTGCTATTAGATTCTCCGTTGGCCTGGCCGTTAGCGGGAGGCTTCTCGGTCTTGGCCGAGGTGGCAGCAGCAGCAGCGGCCTTGTCAGCAGTGAAAGCGTAGTCCTTGGCCTGGACCTGGATACCGAGCTTCAAAGATACCTCACGAAGGAGCTGAACAGGGCGAACCGTGTTGTACCACTCCTCGTCGAGTTCGTAACGGAATCGTTGGAGAATCTGCTCTTCAATGTTCTGTCGCAGGCTCTCAGGTGTGACCTTTTCAAACGACCAATCGGCATCAGCGTAAAGGCTGCGAATGTCAGAGTCAAGCTCAGCAACAGGCTTGCTGTTGAACTTGTGTCCGAGCAGACAGTTGAGGAGGTGAGACACAGCAGCAGGAACTGCAGGAACAGGTAGATGTCGGAGGTAGGCACCAGAAATATGCTTGAACGCTCGAGAAACCATATCCTGTACACAAATCTCGCGGAGGCATCGCAGACGACCATCGTTTGAGAGCTCGGCGACCTTGCCCAGGTATCTCACGTTGATACCGCGCTTGTGCAACAGCCGACTCAAGGACTGACCGTCCATGGGGAAGCTGATCTCAGAATCGGAAAGCTCCTTGAGCAAGTCAGGGATGACTTGTTCGCGGAGGTAGGCACCAGCTGCCCTGACTTCCTCTTCGTCAGCTGCGAATTCGGCCTTCTCTTCATCAGTTTGAGGCACCTGTCCACTGAATGCGTCAGGGTTAAGAGCGAACTTAAAGTCCGCGAGGTTAGGCTGGTTCTCCTCCTCCTTTGAAGCCTCATTGCCTTCACCCTCCTCGGTCTTCTCACCCTCCTCGGTCTTCTCGCCCTCCTCAGTCTTCTCTCCTTCTTCAGTCTTCTTGTCTTCCTCTGCCTTCTCGCCTTCCTTCTCTTTCTTCTGCTCAGCACGACGAGCAACCTCCTTATCAACCCACTGCTTCAACTTATATCGTGAAAAGGAGTCAACAAGCTCGGGCCGGAGAACAGTCATGCGATGAGGATAAGCATCACCATCCTCAGGAAGACCGTCCTCGTCAAGCCAAGCAATATCCAGGGGACTAATGCGGTACAAGTCCAGAACGTACTTGCGTGCGTCTGTGCCGAGGAGACCCTTGGTCTCTACACTAGCCTCCAAGTCGAATCGCTTGCCGTCCTTGTCCCAAACAGGGTGCTTCTTCACCTTCAGAGCCTTGGACAATTGAGCAAAGCCTGGGGCAAATCTCTCATCGGCAGCGACAGTGTCCTTGCCGTCTACGGCGCCATAGTCGATCTGGTTCTCTCCTGGCTCTCGCTGCTTGAAAATTCCAGGAACGATGCTTTGTCCAACAATTCGGCTTCCCATATAGTCAACAACTACGGTAGCAGGGGTAAAGAGTCCCTCAATGTCCAGTTGGTTGACAAGCTTCACACCAGCAACGTCCTTACCGGTAGCGACACGGGCAGCCTCATCACCACCCTCGGAGGTGAATGTACCAACACCATCAGCGCCGAAAGAGAAGAAGATGTTGTTGTAGACAAAGATCTGAGCATCTCTGCATTCTGTGGGGTTCAAGGGCGCGATCTCGCCACGCGCGACCATGACAGCACCTCGGGTGGCAGCCTCATTATAGTCGGCAAACAGCTTGGAAATAAGTCGCTCACGGAAGACACGGTCTTGGACAGATTCGCGGGGAAGCTCCTTGGCTGATTGGAACTCTTCGTTCCAGTCCCGCAGAGTGTCGGTGTTTTCGACACCATTAAGGAGGTAGGTCTCTTGGGATCGTGCAGGGTCGGGCAGATGCGTGCAGAGCGACGAGTCGGGAGACGGAACCACCCAGGGAGCAGCGGGGATGGCATTGGTGATTTGGAAAGTGGCGAGGGGATCTTTCAGGTTGTTGTAATCCTGAAGCTTCGTGAATGACTCGGTGAAGGAAGGAGAGACAAGCTCGATCAGACTCAACAAAGAGTGAGCGGACTGACCCTTGGGGGCTGGGCGAGGGAAAGGATCGAATTTGGCATTAGACGATTTGTTGACGTAGAAGCCCGAAACGTGGGAAGTGACCTGGTACTGTTCGCCTTCATTGGTGGACACAACAAGGTAGAGCAGATGGCCACGCTGTCGTAGATGGGGTGGAGGGGGGTTCCAAGACGACAAGGAGATCTGCTTTACTGTCTTGGGGGCGGGCTCGGAAACAGGAGGAATCAGCCCAGTAAGTGAAGGCACAGCCTGGAAGTCGTAGTTCTGGACAGGTGACTCCTCAGAGGGCTCTTCATTGTTGTCGCTACTCTGAGCCTCGGCGGCCACGGTTTCGAAGAGAGAAAGTCCAGGAAGAAGACCCTGGGCAGTGTCGCATCGATCTCCGGAAGCGCCGATAAGTTCCCGAATGCGGATAAAGTGAATGCGAGCCTCCTTCTCGGTATAGGGGTCTTGGACAATGTGGAATTCGGGTGTGGTGCCAAGCTCAGGAATTTCAGCAAGCGGGATGAAGTCGTTAATCTTCTCGCCATTGAATTCGAGGTGGAAGCAAGTGTACTGGAATGCCGATGGCAGGTCAATGATCGATTGTCGAATCTCATGAACCTGTTCTTGAGAAGAAACCTAAACGTTGGTGAGTATGAGGTTTATTGACGTGGGGTGGTATAAGTCAATGACAAACCATGATCTGCATCTTGCTAGCATTGGCATCAGGCAAGACAATGGTAAGGTTTATTAACGCTGTTGAATAATTAGACACCCATGCCATTTCATCCACATCGCTAATCGGAGGGGCAATAGTATACCTTCGGCCCCAGCGTCGACATCTTGATCTTGGGCTTCGGCCTCCATGTTGGTCTCGGGCTCCTCGGACGCAGCCGCTGTGAGACATATTAGCTTAGTTTTGCAAAACGGAAGTAGAAACAAAAGCAACAAGACAAACAAAGTCTGTGTGACCCCAAGTCAGAGTTACAAGAGACGTCTTGAATGACGGAGTCGACGTTGTAGATGACCCTGGACTTTCCAGCTTTGACAAGGGCGGTCTAGCTTCACAAATTCAGTAATTTATACATACCGGGCGTCTGAGCGGGAGGAGTGGTTTCCGAAGCCATATTCACAGAATGGAGATTTCAAAAAACAATTCAAGAGCAAAAGAAAGGTAGGTATAGAAAGGGAAGACCAGGCATGGGATGGGATATGCACTGGAGGGGGAAGACAATCAATTGAACGACGTTCTTCGAAGGTGGGATGTAGGTCGTGACGGAGGGGAGAATGAAAAAAAATTGGACGGGTTGTGGTGCGGTGCGGTGCGGCGGCAATGGTCCGGCATTGAGGCTTCAAGCCCGGACTTGCTAAAGGTGTGCGGGCATGGAAGTAGCCGGGCGGCGTTCAGAATATGACCTACAGCAATGGTACCTCAGCCCTCTGTGAATCTGAGCGGTTAAACGAGGTACAGTTGGAATATTGAGCCCTTCAGCGTCCAACCCCACCGAAGCCGGCCCTCCCCAGAATATCTGACGGCTAAGCTAAGCCAAAAAGGGAAATTTGTAAACAAGGTCCAATCTTTATCTTGCCAGCAATATCAACCATTCATTTACAGTGTTTTATCTACTTTCATCTTGATCACACTCGGTTTTTGCGTACATGCGATCATGCTAAATTGTTCTTTTTTGTTTGAATATCTTTAATGTTTTCGATTCTTTATAGCATCGCTACTAGGGTACATATTTTTATTTTTTTACTCAGAACCCCTTGTATATCATGAGTCAACAACAACATGAATTGCCACCTTCATCCGCACATCGCCTCATGACAGGCGGAAGTAAACGATGCAGGCAAGATACACAGATATGGACTGCTGCAAGGTGTCAACGGCTATTGAGGCAGCTCGAGTGTCGTTTAGTATCTCTGAGGAAACTGGTCAATGAAGCGCGTCAGCCACAAACAACATCCCACACGAAGCGAACGAACATCGATCAAGAATCCACGAAGCGCTCAAAACGAGCCCGATACACTTATGGAAGACGCCGGTCGACCCCAGTTCCAGCCAAGCCAGCCGAATCACCCACGTTGACCCCCCCACGATCACTACGCACCTTGGGCAGCATGAAAATTGAACGTACTCCCTTACGGGTTGGGCGGATTGACTTCATGACACCAGCGCCATGTAGCTTTGGCCTAGAAGATCAAGATCTCACCTCTTTCCCCGAATCTCCTAAGTCAAAAGCGACTGTTTCCGCATCACTAGTCACAGAATTACAATCGCTCCGCCGGATCGTTCCAGACAGTCACTACCGTATTTACGAAATAATATTTGGTTGGCTAAGTGGCTTACTGAGTTCAACGGATCCGCTTGACCAGTCGGCGCATCCAAAATCGCTTTTAGGAATGTGCCTTCGGAAGGTTCCGGATGCTTTGGCCGTAATAGAAGAATGGGATCGCCAGACCGCAGCAATGAAAGGAAAGTCATTGAAGTGGGACTCATCCAAAGCGTCGATAGAGCTTTACGAGCAACTTGAAGGTTTCGGGAGCACGAGCATTGGTTGGAAATCACTAAAGCTAGTCGTTCGTGCACATGCTGTTTCCATGTTAACGGCAGCTGTCGCAGATGGCCTTTTTGAGCCCCCCTTTGTACGATTGTTGGCTGACCTTTGCCTCAGTCTGGAGTGTAGGGCTGAAGCAGGGCGACTTGTCTCAAGTCTGAAGCTCCCCTTGACCGCACCATGCGGTTCAGCGAGTACGCTATTGGAGTGTAGTGAAGTGCAGCCTCTAGGGGCTATCCTGAGAAGTCTACAGGGTCAAGGAACGATCGGCCCATCTTGGTGTTGCCTTTCAACTCTTATCAAGGACAAGAAACTCCCGCCGAGCTGGCTCACGTCTCGGGCGTTTCAGTCAGTATGGATGCGAGGAATCGAGATTATACTACACAGAAGAACCCCCGTGGTCTCAGTCGTCGATTTCATGTGTACGGCAATTAACCAGCTACTGCTAGAAGACGGAAAAGCGATGAAAACAGGCGAAGCTCCAGAGGATGAGACTCTGACGAATGTGCTGGCTGCAGTAGCAGCAGCGACATGGACCCTAGGTGCTGAGATGAATGGCAAAGAGTCGTGGAAGGTTCACTCAGTTCGACGCCTATTGTTCATACTCGAGTCTTGCGCATATCAGCAGGAGAGCCGTCGTGGCACCTCTCGAAACAGAGGTCTTCTCATTGTCGTTTTAGCTCGGTTCCTAGCTGCCGGTATGATCGACAAAAATGTCGTCAGTTCGACGACGAAAAACCATGCGATTTATGACTGTCTGAAACTCCTGATAAGAAACGGATTCCCCACACAAACACAATACCGACAGACACTTTTGCTAGCTTGCTCTGTCGCACAATATCGGGGGCAAGCGTGTCGCTTGCCATGCCACGATATCTTATCTGAGATTCGTATGTTATTCAACGAACTGGGGCTTCCAGATTGGTTTCAGAACGGTTTAGTGTCTGACGGGGCCTTTGTTCTGGCGCAGAGAACGAGAGATCTCCGAGATGTTGCTTTCGCGGAAAGGCTTCCTGCTCCTGGCAAGGGAACCCTAGAAACGAGCACGATATTTTCGGGCTGGTGTTGGGAGGAAGGAATTGGTGAATGGGTTCTGCCCAGCCCTGGTCAAAAACAACGAAGCGAGCTGAGACAGCAGAACCACATTCAAAACGGAACGAGATACCAAGCAAGCGGAGATCAACAACCAGATAGTCGAGCCCGGACTAGGAGCCTAAGAGGGGCTAGGGTCGTCTACAGTAACAATCTTAGATACAGGAACGACGAGGATAGCTCCGCGGGAAGTGAAAGGGGGGCGGAGAATCATAATGGCACGGACGACACTGACAGGGAGGATGAAAACGATACGAGCGAAACCAGCATGACAGATTTAATTGTCAGGGATGGCCAAGACAGCGAAGACGAACTTGGTGAATATTTCCCTCCGACCCCCACATCGAAGCGAGATCTCAGCTACAGCATCGGCAAGAGAAATATAAACGGCAACACTATCGACGTAACTACTAAAAGAAAAGCAGTAAAAAAGCTGAAGCGCTTGGATATCACGCGGACCTGGCAGGCGGCCAGACTTCATGGCCCAGGAGGTTCAGTGGTTGTCCAGGTAGAAGACGATACGGATGACGATGAACTTAGCATATTGCTCTGATAGATGATTTGTGATTTTGGCATATTTAATTCAAGGTCTGGATTTTTTTTCTTTCTTTTTTTCTTTTTCTTTTTCTTTTTGTTGTTGTCAGTTGGCTGCCGCCAGGCTACCAGGATCAATATGCACATGTTATGAAAGCGTCTCAGTGCACGTCTCAGAACCATATTCATCCGCCTCTCATGGGCCGAGAATTTGGTTACGAGAACATCGGTCACAGTGGGGCGGGAGCCATTTGAAACCGCCAAATCGATGTCATCCTCAATCCGCAAACAACAACTTTTTGCAGATGTGATCGACGACTGGTCCATAGTTTTTGGTGGTTACCGCCGAGTCATTTTGTTCTATGTAGTTTGCAGAATAGAGAGACGTACTTACTTACTGTAGCTAGCAGGAGATTCGAGTTTTCTTCTTTTTGTTTCCTTTTGCCTCAGTAGATACAGTGGTGGGTGACCATTCAGTGCAGTCTTGCGTCATTCCTGGAAATGGCAGACTGCAGTGCTGAGACATAGGTCCTGCCCAGATGCACTTGAGCTGAAGGATCTAATGACAGGAGAATTGTTATCTATCCTGGTAATTGACAGCCGTTTCCAGAACGGCCAAGACGACGTTTAGGGTTTAAGTAACGGTGCGGTTTACCAGATTTCGGGAATGCCCTTGTTTCAAGATCCCCGCCAAGCCCCGCATCGCCAGGATTCATAGTGCTGAGATATATCGTTCCGCCACTCGGAGTCGACGCCACTACATCCATTACTATTTGTATCCCCTAATCGGGCATGTTCAGTGCTACGTAGACGCTGAGTGGGCCTACGTAAGTGAGTAAGTGATGTACCGAGATATGGATCTAATTACCGTACGAGAAGGGAAGATCTATTGACCTCGCAAGCTTGATGCTTAATTTGCAATTAGAAACCGCCACACTTGATTAGCGTGTTAATGCAACTAAATCACTGCGTGATGAGAATAACTGAGAACAACATATGTATTGAATGAAACCTAATGAATCTTGAGTTGCTTCTTAGTGCGGGCAGCACTTACTCACTGGCTTGGCTTGATTTGCTAGCAGAGCCGCCGGGTAAACTAGCTTGTATTGATTCGCCAATGACACACTCAGATCAGCTCATGTTGAACGACGTTGATGTAAATCTTGAAACTGCCCCTGAGCCTAGGCCTGCCCTAGCAGTCGGGCCCCAGATGTAACAGTGGGATTTTGACGGCATGGCAAACCCATCCTATGAGAATACAAGGGACGAGGCCACTAGGTAGGTAGTTCTACGACAGACCAACACGCGGCCTCATAATCATCTGCTTGGGCTATGATTGCTGGGGAATTTGAAGTAGACCCATAGTTAAGCCTCGCAAACTGTACCTTGTTCAAGATTGTCAGGGTGCATGTATGTACTTAACACTACTAGACTATCCCTTGCTCCTGCTGGCAGAACCTCCGCAATATCGTTTTTCAAAACTCTTCCTTGCTCTTTTCTTGTTTCGATTGTTCGTTCATTCCTAAAGACGGCGTAGGAATTGATTGATTGATTGTTTCGGAACTGGAGCTGGTTTCCATCGATTTCCGTCCATTCACTCTATCTCACACCTCTCCCTCCGCACGTACATTACACTCACTTCTCCCGCCCGTCGCAATCTCTTGCGCATTCATTCCTTCCTGCTTCATTTCTCTTGGCCGCCACCTCTTTTTTTATTTTTCAACTCAACTCGATTCCTCCTGGGGAGGTTTCGTTTTTTCATTCTCCCTTTGTGTTTGAGTGATCCGTTTTCTTCAACACCTCGATCTTTGTTGTTCTCATTTCCAGTCTTTCGTTATTTCTCACAACATCAACCACGATGAGTTCCGGCAACTCATTGTTCCCGCGCGCCGGGTACGAGCTCACCCCAGAGCAACAGGCCCTCAAGGAAATCGCCGAGACCACAAACGGTAACCTCGCCAAGTACCTCATGATCGTCTGCGGTTCAGTGTCCGTTGCTGTCATTATCTGGAAAGTCTGCGAACGAATCATTCGACTAACCCGACATGTTTCTTGCCTCAATAACGACAAGCAGCGCTACTTCGCTATCCCTTCACAGAGGTTCGCGTCCCTCAAGCGCAACCTTCTCTATGCCCCCGTCTTCAGCAAGCGACACAACCGCGAGATCCAGCTCAGCAAGGCTATCAATGTCGGCACACTGCCAACCAGATTCCAATTATTGTTCCTTATCGCCTACTTCGCCTCCAACATCGTCTGGTGTGTTATCGACATCGATTATTCTGCCGACATGAGCGCCGCCTGTGGTGTTATTCGCAACCGTACTGGCGTTCTCTCCACTGTCAACATGGTATGGCTGCACTCAAACTCTAACAGAAAGAAACAGCTACGTTTCAAACGGCGTGGCTTTTCTTGGCAAACGTTGAATATCCGTCACTAACAACATTCAAGGTTCCTCTGTTCTTACTGGCTGGGCGAAACAATCCCTTGATCCCTCTATTGAACATCTCCTTCGACACATACAACCTCCTCCACCGTTGGTTTGGTCGTATCGTTGTTCTCGAGGCCCTTGCCCATACCATCGCTCACTACGGCAAGGCTGGCTGGACGTTCACTCCTCCTTCAGGCAATTTTATCTTGCCCGGTTTCATTGTAAGTCTAGTCGCTTATGTTTCCTAACTCTGGCTACGCTCCTCTACTTACACTCACATCTTCTAGGCCACTTGCTCCTTTGTGTTCCTGATGATTCAAGCCTCTAGCCCTCTCCGACACGGCTTCTACGAGGTCTTCAAGGCTCTCCACATCCTTGCAGCCTGCGCCGCTGTTGTTGGCCTGTACTACCATTTGTCCGCATCCCCCCAGTTGTACAAGTGGCTCTGCTACGTCTATGGTGTTATTGTTCTCTGGAGTTTCGACAGAACTTCACGCCTGTGGCGTATCCTTCGCTCTCACGTCGGAGGATCGCGATCCCGCACCATTGTCGAGGCTCTTCCCGGAAACGCTGTTCGGTTGACGATGACTCTGGCCCGCCCCTGGAAAGCCGCTCCCGGACAGCACGCCTATTTGTACCTGCCCGCCGTCAGCTACTGGCAATCTCATCCCTTCTCTGTCGCCTGGTACGATGGCGTAGAGGACCCCAAGAATGAGAGATTGGCCAGCACCAACCAGGATCTGTTGGCCATGCAGCAGCAGCGAATTTCATTCGTCATTCGAGGCAGGACTGGCATGACTGACAGTCTCTACAAGAAGGCCGTTTCAGCACCTGGAGGAAGGTTTGAGACCAGCTGCTTTGCCGAGGGACCCTATGGTGGTCACCACTCCTTTGACTCATACGGCACTGTTGTTCTCTTTGCTGGTGGAGTCGGCATTACCCACCCCGTTCCTTACATCAAGCATCTTGTCGAGGGCTACTCCCAAGGTACTGTTGCCACCCGAAGAATCTTGCTGGTCTGGACAATTCAGACTCCTGAGCACCTTGAGTGGATTCGCCCCTGGATGACCGAGATTCTCGGCATGGACAAGAGAAGAGACGTTCTTCGAATTATGCTCTTCGTCAGTCAGCCTCGATCAACAAAGGAGATTCACAGTCCTTCATCCACGGTTCAAATGTTCCCAGGACGTCCCAACATCAACACTCTCTTGGGTATGGAGCAAGAGCAACAGGTCGGCGCCATGGCTGTAACCGTGTGCGGCCCTGGTGCGTTAAGTGATGAGGTTCGACTGGCCGTGCGAAACCGTCAAGATCGATCTCACATCGACTTCATTGAAGAGGCGTTCACCTGGTAAGCTGCTTTGATTGGTGGAAGCCTGGTGTTTGGAGTTTTGGCACTTGCTGGCCAGACCAGCTCACAATCCCCGTCCCTGGGAGACAAAGATGATAAATATCTCTCTGGCTCTCGACTCTTTATTCTGAGACATTCTAGCGGTCCAGATTATGCCCGTCCGTCTTTGGGCAACTTGCTAGGCAAGACTCAATTTTGAGATAAATTTCATGTACTGTACTTTAGATCGAGGTGTATCTACGCTCCTTTTCCGGTTCTTTTTGCGACCTACACACAATAACATTATCAAACAAGGAATGACCATAAATAGTTTCCCTTTTGCCATCATTCAGTCTGTTATGTGTTTCGTCATGGTCTATTGTTGATATATGCGTCGCTAACTGATTACCATATGCTGATGTTTATTATGGTTGCGCCTGTCCAAGCACATGCATACGGCCTATCATCATCACTGCAAAGATAGTAAGGAGTGCCTAAGTATGATTGGCACTAGGCCACCCCAGCCATTTCCAGGCGTGACAATGCTCCCGTGACTTGTGCGTAGATCTCGGCAGGTGACGGACTGCGCTGACCTTGGTACCCAGAGTCACGGTCATTTGACTTTCTCCACTGAGACACCATTTCTTTTGGTACTGAACCCAACCACCAACACTCGAACAAACGTTGTAGGAAAGCAAACCATAGCAGCCAACACTGATGAATGCATATCTAACCATTCGTACGTACCCTTTCGTCAGGTCTGGCCTGGGATCTCGTTCCGACCCGCATGAATGCACCCCTCCATCCGTAGATCCACTTCAGATCGGAGGATAATTATACATAGAGCGACCTGAGAACGTACGTCGAGGCAGCATATTACGCGTTGAACACTGTAGGTGGAGAGTTTATTGATGCACGTGAGTGTACATACCAGTTAGTGAGGCGACACCTCCGCGTTCGAACTTTGGACTAGCTGCTGAACCCTGCATACTGCACTAGGTAGCAAGATACTGCCGATACGTATCCGTGCCTCTGCTCCGCCTTTGAGCTTATCAGCTCTTTGTTCCGGACTGTTATCAGAGCCGGTCTTCTCTGCCGTCTCATCATCCATCCCCCATCATCTCTCTGGATTCGACCAGTATCAAACACTTGAAGTCTAGCTGTCGTCAACCGGCTGCTACTTCACTATGGCGTCCAAAAGCCTTATTCCGTTTCTTGTAGCTATGATGCTGCTCACAGGTGTTTGCAACACCTTGTTGACCAAGTATCAGGTATGACGGCATGGGCATCGTCGCATCTACTATTCTGGCTAACACAGCTTCTTTTAGGACAACCAATGCGTTCGCAATTGTGATCCCGATGACAATCCGAGAAAGCGCGCCTTCTTTAACCAGCCAGTGCTCCAGACGGCGCAGATGTTCATCGGTGAGATGGGCTGCTGGTTGGTTGTTGGAATCATGGCACTTTGGCGTCGATTTAAGGGCTCTGCCCCGGAACAGCAAGGTTACCAAGCTGTAAACACCGAAGAAGGCGTTGATCGCGCAGCTGAACCTGAAGCCAACGCTCGTACCAAACTCTTGCACACCGGTCCATCCGTTCTGAGAGGGTACCGAGTTACCCTCCTTGCTCTGCCCGCTATCTGCGATATATGCGGCACTACATTGATGAACGCTGGGCTTCTTATGGTGGCTGCATCCATCTACCAAATGACCCGAGGCGCCCTGGTTCTCTTTGTCGGCCTTTTCAGTGTCGTCTTCCTCAAGCGACACCTGCATCTCTTCCAATGGCTTTCACTTGTGGGTGTCGTTCTTGGAGTCGCGGTTGTGGGACTGGCTGGAGCTATTTGGCCTGACGAGAAGCCCGAGGGTTCTATGGGAACACCGGACGAGGACTCTCTGGATGAAGGTGGCTTATCAGATGCTACCAGAGCTATCGTCGGCGTCCTTCTTATTGCAGGTGCTCAAATCTTCACGGCTACACAGTTCGTCCTTGAGGAATGGCTTCTTGAACGGTCTTCAATTGAGCCTCTCAGAGTAGTTGGATGGGAGGGTATCTTTGGCTTCAGTTTCACTCTGTTGGGCATGCTCATTCTGCACGCAGCAATAGGCTCAACTGATGCTGGCCGATACGGATATTTTGACATTGTAGAAGGCTGGCGCCAAATGACTGAGAACAAGCAAGTTCTGCTCTCTAGTTTTCTCATCATGATCAGCATTGGGTAAGTGTTAACGATCATCATTGAGTTGTCAAATACTAACCCGGACAACAGTGGCTTCAATTTCTTTGGTTTGTCCGTCACTCGAAGCGTCAGCGCAACCTCTAGGTCCACCATCGATACATGCAGGACCTTGTTCATCTGGGTTGTCTCTCTAGGCTTGGGCTGGGAGACTTTCAAGTGGCTCCAGATCCTTGGTTTTGCTCTGCTTGTGTATTTCACCTTCCTTTTCAACGGCATCGTCCAGCCTCCTTTCGAGTTCTTGAAGGTTCCCGATGAGGAGATTGAGGAACTCCTACCCGAAGAGCCAATCGAGCATCGTTAGACGAATGCATCTCCAACCGCCCCGCCGGAGTCAGCAATATCAGTTTAGATTTGAAAGTGTACTTGTTTAGAATGGCGTCAATGTATTAGGTGCTGCATATGTTTAGAAGTTCTGTTATATTGAAATTTCCCGAAGTCGACACGAATGCGTGCCTTATCTGATCATGAAGTCTAACGCCAATACCGTAACCTACCAAATTAATCCAACGCCCTTACATATGTTAGAAACGCCAAGTCCAATAGAGAATAGCTTCCGGCAATGCCATCATCACCCTTTCTTATCAGGTAACATTACAAAGCAACTCTGCTTCAAGAATGAATTTGCCCTCCTTGTATTTCTCTGACGATTCGTAGGCCTTGTCGTATTTCCACCCGACAGTTTCCTTGCACTGGCGGCATGTAATATCGCGAACAACGTGTCGGCCAGTTGTCATATTACGTTCGTTTGGGGTTCCCGTCTCGATGTTAACGACGCTGTGAAAGAGATATGCTTTCCCGTGCTGCCCGCGGAAGTTCTAATGCTGATATTAGCGAACATGATCACTTGAAGAAACAAATGAACATGCAAAGATAGGAAGCACATACTCGACTAATGATATCCTCATGGTTAGCAAGGTGCGCCTTACATGTCTTGCAGCCATAGATCTTGTTGCTGCTAAGGTAGGTGTTGTAAGCCAGCCCCATGACGCGGGGCCGTAGGGCAAGACAAGAACGGGCTTGGTCTTGGAGATTTCGGAAACAAGAAACTAGCAGCAGCTATTGTGATGCCTTGTGAATTTGGGTACTGAAAGCAGCTGTCGTTGGACAGTTGTGAGAGTGAAGATGGATAGTGAAGCGGAGTGTCTGATGTTGGGTGTGGGTTACCCAGTAGACTAGTACTAGTTAGCAACTAGATAAATACAGGTAGGTAGAGGGAACCTGGGGGGTAAGGCGGGAACCCGCCTAACTCTGAACTGGCACGTCATGAGGCCGGAGTCAGAAAGTCTAGGTAGGCTAGTAGGTACTACCCACCTGCGCGTTTGCCATTGGAACGTACCCGCAGTGTAACCGACAAGCCCGAGATCAGTAGAGTCCGTACATCCTGTGAGATAAGTACGAAGGTACTGACATACTACTACAACACACAGATAATAGAGTCAATTATTTCTTAGATTGTCTTAAGGAATAAGAGGTGGAGCTGTAGTAGCGCTTCTATTTGTGTAAGAACAATGTTGCTTCTTTACCCATCATGACTTTCAGCTATTATGGAGCGACGGAAGAAATGAGTGTTAAACTTTGAAAGTTGTGTACAACCACCAAACTACGCACAGATAAGAGCGGGCTTCACGCTCACATCAAGCAATGGGGGGATAATCTGATATGACTGATTTAACTTCCTTGATGGCACACATAGCACTGTCTATGATGATTCTTACAAATTTTCACACGATTTGGGAATGTGTAGTATGACTGCTAAGTCAAGCCGCAACAAGTCTCGCGACGATGGCTGCGATAATAGAAAGTCGCACATGACACCTTGTGAGTCACCGATGGATATTGCAGTATCATCACTGATGTTTCATTTGAGGGGAAAGAATATAATACATCTCTCCGATAGAAGCTGCTCATCATCGTCGTTTTTATCGATTGACACAACGCCTGCTGCCTGCCTGTTACTGTATAAACGAACAAGACGCCACAAATAAAACAAAACGTCCGAACTATGGTCCATTCCTACGCCTGAAAGCACTTAATTAATTCTCTCTCATTTCTTGTCCTTTCTCTTCTTGGCCTCTTCGGCAGCCAAGTCTTTGTCCTTGATGTTGTTGTAGTGCCATACACCGCGTTCTCGGTCTTCCTGTAGCATCTTTTGATCCTCTTGGCTGATGGGAACGCCTTCGATGCCTTTTACTTTCTTCCCCTCAATAAACATAACAATTCCTCCGATAGCGGCAACGATACAAGCGAGTGCGACAAAGAGGCCTGTGGACCAACTGGGACGATCGTAACGGTTCAACCCCCACATAAACCCAGACAGGACGCACTGCAGGAAGGTGTTCCATACCATCAACCATATGACAGCATCCAATCTTGTAATGGTAGTTGGTGGAGCTCGGACTCCTGTCAAGGGAGCATCGGGGATTTTCTCTGGGGGAAACGGGCAGGCGAGTGACGAGTTGAGATCGGGCGACGAGGAGATATTATGGGGCCCTATCTGAGGGTCAAGCTGATCAGATCCTGGAAGACGGAACCATCCTCGATGGATGCCTGCCAAGCGTCGAAGGGCAACTTCCTTCTTCTGGACGCGATACTGAAGGAGGAAATATAAATCGCGAAAGCGCCAAGGGGCGAGTCCAAAGCCTGTGACACAAAAGAGAGCATTAAGGATCTGAGAATCCCACTCTATCCATTTTCGTCTGGGCGAGTTGATATCATTGCAAGTTGGAACACACATTGCTGGTGAAGCGTTGCTAATAGGCTTGTCAGAATGGTTGCCAGGGCCAAAACATGAATGTTAAACAAGGTCCTTACCAGAGCAATAAGAAGAGCATGCCGCCCCAGGCTACAACGTTCAGGCCATAGAGAGTGACAAGGAAACCTGTAGGTGTTATGACATAGTGCCCGAATGCAATCAAGCCGAGTTTTGTAGACTGTCCAGATGAATGTTTTGGTGGGAAGTGATACCCATTGTCGAAAGGAGCCGCAGCTGCTGGCTCCCCAGTAAAGTTTCGTCTAGGAGAAGCTTTGCTTGCACTTGCTTTTTTCTCGGGAGCCTCTTCGTTGACGGTGGGAAAGGTATTCTGCCTAGACGCACTACCGAAAGATTGACCTGTTTGCATCGGTATCGAGGGCTCTGAAGTCCTGCGCGTCACTGTTTGTCGGGAAAAGATTGAAGATGCGATGGTTCCTGTGGCAGCCATAAAACCTTCCGGAGGACCGGAAACTTCGAAGCTTTGCGAAGCTCTTCGCAGGCGACCGCTTAGAGATGAAGATGCTGCTGGACGATTGTGAATATTTGATGAATCGGTGTCGGCATTGGTAGGTGATGCATTGTCGAAACTGGGAAACGGCTCGGTATCTGTTCCATTAAAGGAAGGTTGCCCAGAAGTGGCCATTGTGGCGAGGCAGCCTTGGCGGTCTCGAATTAGGCAGCTGCTATTACTGAATGACGACCGTTGATATTAAGGTACAGCTATTGAGGTTCAGTTGCATGAAGGCGTCAAATTATATGATGAATTATTGGACAATATATAAGGAGGAAACGGAATGCTGCCAAGGTCCACATTTGATGAGAGGACAGTGGAACTGGGCCATTTATTAAGATCTTACCGCAGTCTAAAAGGCACTAGGTAACTCCGGGGTTGAATTTTACATTGCCTACCGTATCTTCGGTTACAATACGCGCATATCTAACTAAGTACCGAAGGTGCTGGTGAATAACGTTCGTTCAGCTATCGGCATATTTACGAAAGTTAAAAGCCATGAGCTTACAGTGAGAGGAGCATCTCATTCGCCCTTGTCAGGGCAGCACAAAGTCGTTTTTATGTCAACTTTTAGGGGACCTTCTACCTCTGGGTAAACTCTCCACCTAACAAAGGTGATTATCCACCTGCAACATCGGCCGATATCCATTAAAAATAAAAAAGCTAATTTTTACTTCGGCACAAGCAGACAAGGTCTAGAATCAATCATCCCTCTCTTCCCCTCTCGTCAGCAGTGCTACAGTGCGGCTGGTCGGTAATCATCACCAACTTGTGCCCTCAGAGGTCATTAAACCTTGGACTGTCTGATTATTTTACGGCACCGCCACACTTCGCCCTCATACGCGTGTACAGTTTCCGCGTTTACATACTGGGACTAGGCCCTGATCCGTACGGAGTACCATCTCTGGTGCTCGTCTCCCTTGGCAATCCTTACGCGGACATATGAAAACGTCATCGATCAACATGGACTCTCGACGTAATCCGATAGCAGACCTGACTTCCGCAGTCCTATACAACCTCCAATATCAGCATGATTGGGTCTCCCTCGACGTTCATGAAACAACAGCTTATCGGCCCTTAATCAGAGGTTTGCCGCCACGACGACTCTACATCCATCCTGACGACCAGATTGCTGCTTTGGAACGTGAGAAGACTACAGGCGAGCCCTTGGATCAGACTCCAGAGCTTGAATGGGTGCTAGCAGTGCACCCTGAGGAGAAATGGACCATCAAAGCATTTTCCAATGTCTTCGATTCTATCGAGCACCAAGGCCCACGAGAGAAGCGACTTGTACTGGCAACAGTGCATAATGACTCTACGGTTGTTTATTATTTAATGCACGAGGGCATGGTTAAGCCTCGACAAAACTAATCACCGATGTGGTCCGTCTCTACTCGGTCGTCCTACAGCGTAAAAACAACTTTTTGCGTCTTACGCTGCTCGAAGAGAGTATATCCTTCGGGAGCTTGCGCAAGCGGCATCTTATGATCAAACAAGAAACTTTCATGACAGTCAGTTGTGGATATCGGTTTAAAAGCTTCTGAAGCACTTGCCCGATCTTATCCTGCTTCTGCTCCAGCAAATGGAGAGCTTCGTTGAAAACGCTGCGCACTGGGCAGCGACCCATCTGTAACCGAATGTTTTTCCTGCAACAATGTCAGCCAATCGGTCTTTCGTGTTGCTACGAGCATACAGGGCCAGCTCGGGGGGGGGGGCTACATACGTATATGCGTCGTCACCTGTCCATGGAATCTACATAGATGATCGTTAGCTTTTCCCATCTCAAGTCTCTCATACACTTTTATCTGACCTCCTTGTTGTGGACACCGATGCTGCTGATGGCTCCAAATGGCCGCACAATGTCGAAAGCTGTTCTCAGAGCTGGTGCTTGTCCAACAACTTCAACAACCATATCAGCGCCTCGCCCCTCTGTTACCTCCCGTATTCTGGCCTCGAGTCCTGCTCTGTCAATCTCGAAATTGAGGGGCTCTGCGCCAAGTTTGCGAGCTTGCTCCAGGCGGCTGTCAACACTATCGATCGCGAAGAGATGACGAGGCTTGAAATGAGTGGCTGCCAAGATGGCGCAGAGCCCAACAGGACCACAGCCCACGATGACCATCGTAGCTTCCTGGATGTTCTGCGAAGGCACAAGCTCCATAGCACTCTTGACACCGTAGAATCCAGTGGGGAAGATGTCCGCCATGAGTAAGAGAGCTTCGTCCGATATAGTCTCGGGAGCCTTGACAGCAGTCCCATCAGCCATAGGAATTCGGACGTATTCAGCCTGTCCTCCGTCAAGAGTTTCACAGCCAAACAGCTGGCTCTCTACACAACGAGCGGAACACCCGTTGTTACAGAAGAAGCAATTGCCGCTACATTGGTCAGCATGGCATTAGGTCAAAGGATATGAGGAACACACCAAGAAGCTGTGAATGGGGCGACGACCTTGTCACCGATGTCGATGGTTTTGACATCCGAACCAACTTGAACAACTGTTCCAGTAAACTCATGGCCCATGACGAACCCGGTGCCCGACGGTTGGTGGCCACGGTAGATGTGAAGCTCGCTATGACCATGGGTCAGAAGATGAAATAAATTATCGGGCAGGGTTTCTTACGATCCGCACAATCCCGCGGCATGAACTTTGACAATGATATCTCTGCCATCACGGACTTGTATCGTCAGCTGTGATGCTCACAGGGGGCGGGCATTGGAAGCGTGATAGCGTTCGAACTAGGCAACCCAAACGACTTACTCTGGGGCACAGATCGATCCTGGACCGAGATCTTGTACAGGCCGTCAAAAATGACGGCCTTCATAGTTGACGGCAGGGACATGGCTCTTACGGAATACAGCTACTGGCTTGGAGTTTCACGTCAACGATTGTGGACAGAGTTTTATGGATTGCATTCTGTCTAGGTAGTCAGTGTGGGGTTGAATCAGTTTCGTCATCGGCATAAGATGGTTGATTTGTCGCATTGTGGTGGAGAATCACAAACCAAGCAGCTATTTGGGGTGGGCCGAGGTTCACGTCGAGTTATATGCTGCTCGTAGCAATTCCAAATGTGCATGAAGACAGCACAGAGTACAGATTTGGCAAGATTTAATCAGGACATGATGGTTTCGAAATAATTAACATTGAATAGCATCAAGTCTCACTTACAACCTATAAACGAGTTTGATGGGCACTGATAAACTCGGTTCCACTGTGGCAGTTACCGTGGGGCAGCTGGGTAGTGCTGGATCCCGCACAAAATGAGGTTGGGGGCATCTAAATGTATCCAGACCTCACGAGACTCGGTGGTGTAGTGTAATACATGGTTTTGTTAATGATATTTGTTTACCATTCGCCAGGATTTGATGACGGCAGGTGTCCTGTGTCTCTACATCACCCAATTGGTATACCTGCTATTACCTACAATAGCAGGTAGGAATTATTCGAGTCAGTTCACGCTTCGCGAGCAAGTCCAAGCTTGAACTAAAGGACCTGGACCACCTAAAATAGGGTTAGACAAAAGATATGGGGTGTGCTTGATAGATAAAAAAGCCACATAATTGGTCATCTTGAACGTCGTCAACTGACGGTTCCGCCCAGATTAAATGGAGTGTAGAAGGTAATTAGTTAGATGTAACTGTGACAGATTTGCTGCGTCATTTACTACGTGCGTCGTGGATTCTGCGAGATTTCTAGAACAAAAACAAGAGTCTACCTAGCATCTAACTACTCCTTGCTGTTCTTGCATATAATCAGCTGATTGCCATTCATCTTATGGCCTACCATATACACACATCTGCACTTTCCATCTACCTGTTATTACTGCACTGATCTAACATGTAAGAAATAAGTCCATGAGATCGAACTTGTGCTTGATGTTAGGCAATCAATCAATCAGCTACCGCGGCCGGCAAAGCAGAAAGCGGTCGCTTCTTAGCCAGGGTCCATGAGACCAGACTCAGAGCCGCGTTATGTGGGCAGATTGTGGAGCGTCCAATGATGAAGCACAAACGGTCCTTTCTCATCTTGGGCTTGGGACTCAACAGCATGGTCGGTATTCGGACAGTGTAGAGACATGACGATTACACAGTGAAGAGATACCCCACAAGGGGCTCTTTTTGAGCTTATCCACTACTGTATCCACTTCCCCTCGTCCTAGGCGGGGGCTTGGCTCTGGGGTCAGCCAGTTAAATTGAAAAGACCGTGACGGGACAGTCCGTTGTGGTTGAGTGCGCGAGATTTGTCGGGCAGGTGTCAGACGAGGCGGCTCTTTTTGGCTCGGCAGAGATCATCACCGCCTAAATACAGTACCTACAGCAGACAGAAATGTCAGGGTTCTGTTTTGCCATGTTTAGTATCTTGTCCTCCCCCATCAACTAGAGACAGAAAGATGAGAACGTAAAGCAGCCACTAATCTTACCAAGAATTAGGGACAAATGACGGGCAGATAAGTTAGCAATGCGCAAAATAAATTGCCCACTTGGACTGGCGCTGATGCACCACACACATGTCGATACGGCAGTGGATGTTGAAGCTTAGACGAGTGACCCCAGTGGAGAATTGAAGAGGGGAAAGGGAGGCCTCGGTGGGTGCATCCCATCCTGGGGTTCACAATTCAGTAGAAATTGTTCCTACTCTGAGAAATAAGCACGCTTCATGCTTGTAGTTACAGCCATTGTTGTTATCTACCGTAGTATCTACAGTATTTACACTTGTTTTCGAGTCCATATAAATTCAGATCAAGGTCTAGGAATACCTACATAGGTCTGTCTGTACAGAGTGAGGCTCATTTCATGGCATCGAGCGGCGTCCAATCCACAATCACAGTCCATTACATATCAAGGGTCAGTCAGTTAGGTGCATTGTCACACAACCCAACTTTTATCCATGTCGGCCAAGCGCGGAGAAAGATCTCGCTAGAGACACACTACTGTACTTGAATTAACCTAATGGCGCACAAGGTCAGCCGCCTGCGCTATCATGGACAGAACACAGTCTCCAGATACCGACCGCATTTTGCTGTCGCTGAATCATCGGAACTTATCTATGAATGATTCTCGTCCGAATTATGCGCTCACAAGAGTCTACAAAGTACGCATCCCTAACGGAAACAAGATGACTCTATTTCCACTTTTGAATACATAATAGTCGCCTCTTAACATCACGCAACATTAACAATAGACCACAAACAGGCAACTCACTACCTTAATATTACCTACTAAACCTTAGTACCTAGGTACGTATGTACATACAGTACCAATGTTAGTATGTAGCTCGCGACGCAAAAGAAGAACAGCAGAGCCCCATCTGGGGCCCCTGGTTCTCTGTCGGCCTACCACATGTAACAGATACCTAGTGCCTACGGATATGTTCAACCAGCTAGCGTACCTGGTCAACAAGGGCCGAATATTTACCACCAAGTTGCTTTTTACCCCATCCCCATCTTTGTTTCCACCTTTCCCCATGGCCCATTGCTCTTATGGTCCATGGTCATGGTCCATGTTGACGGGCATCTCAGAATCCTTCTAACCCTCCCAGGACCCCAGCCCCGCGAGTCCCTGGGTTTCCCTCTCCCCCCATTTCCTAATTCAAGTATCGACCCGTGGCGTAGTCACTGGCACTGTACACAAGGTACTCTGCCAATTTTTCCATGGTAGACACGGTACCATTTTATGATTCTGTGTCCCTACGTGCCTACCTAGTGCCTTCTCTAACTGCCTGGATCCCCGTAACCTGGTGTCAACAAGTGGAGGCATATTCCCAATGGATACTCGGTAGGAAGGAGCAGTAGAAATGCACGGCAGGTACATCCTACCTACCATCCATCCATTCGATGCCTGCCTCCTGCCCAGTCCCAGTCCCAGTCCCAGTCCCAGTCCCAGTTCCAGTAGTTATAGTAAAGATAGGGCCAGCCAGGAATCCATACCATTCATTCATTTCAAATCCATCCACTCCCCCAGGATTTTTCGATTCACTTCATGTTCCGCATCCCATCCGCACTCTTCATACCCCGAATACCACCAACTGCTGTCTGCTACATATCTACGCCTCAGCTCCAACCTCAAGGTAACCTTGCCAATTAAAAGGTACCTCTTGCTACAATACCATCCTTCTCACTCGGTCTTACTGGTCACACCCCTTGACACAAACGACAACTGAACATCACCTCCGCTTCTTCTCTCTGATATCGCGCACACACTACCTCGCTTGAACTACTACCAAAGTCAATAAAGTCGAAACCCCTTCAAGTAACGCGGTATTTCCACGGGCCATATATTTGGGCACTTCGCATTCGCTTTAAGGCTCAAAGTTCAATGCAGGGCGCGCCCGACCTGTGCTCACGGCCATTCTCAATATTGTCCCTTACCTGGATGAATACAGTGTAGAGATCTTAACTATTCTTATCGCCGCCTTGGACGGCCATTCGAAGCTTCATATCGAGAGGCAAGCATTAGTATACGAAATATTGCTGGCAAATTGTCTATTTGGAGTCGCGCGTATATACTCCGTTGGCTCACACCCCAATCCGACCGGTACCTCCTTCGCATACTCCGTCTGTTCAAACTTGTCTTTGGTAGTGCAGTTTATTTTTCCAAATTTCATCGCAAATATTCACACCAGCGCGCGATCAGCGAGCGACCAAGAAAAGGCCCGGGACGCTTCAACCTCACGAGGGGCCATGGCGAGTTGAGCAACCGCCGTCAACGCGACAACGATGACCACAGCTACGCAGCAACAGCAGCACCCACCACCGCAACCTCATCTCGGTTTCATTGTCGACACATACGATCCGGATGATGTGGTTCCTCGAGGGAGCCCCCTCATGACCCCGCTTCGTCCCAGGCTCGAGCCGTCTCCAAGTCCTCCTCCAGAAATACCTGCAACTCAAGTCAGTCTTAGTGCTTCCTGTATCGGCGGTCGGGGCAAGTCTAATCGCCACAAGATTCGTCCAACTTCTGGGGACGCCGTCTTAGTCGCTTATCTCGACAACGGACGTGATCCTGAAATCGCTCGCGCAGCCGGTCGCGAAAGTCTTCCATGCGACGAAGAATCGCCTGACGAAGAAGCTCAAGATAGGCCCGCAAACGGGAATCTCATGAGCGGGCCGTCGCTTCAGCACCTTGCCGCGGGCGCATTAGAAGCTGCTTCAATAGTTACAGCGCCATCCGCCCTCGCAGCCACGGTACCCAAAACGATACCTGACATATCGATACCAACCGGTCAGCTTTCAATTCATGATGACCCTCCAGTTACCAACCTACCTACATCGCGATATGTTTCTACCAACAGAGTCACATCACCACTAATCCATTCACCCAGCGGACCCTTGCCGCCACTACATGGAGTTCGTCCGCCAGTCGGCGAATCCAAGGAGGCGCTGCCCTCACGGTCTCTTCCATCTCTACGTTCCACTTTTGGAGAGATCAGAGATCTGGCTCCCGAACATTTGCCTGAACAGGAACTTGGGCGTGTTCCTTCAGGGCCATCCTCGACTTTCCCTGCCTCGCCGGCTGGAAACATTGGGCATCGCTTCAGTGTAAGCAACCTCTCGTCTTCACCTTGTTCACCACCCGAAGGTTATAGAACACTTTCTCCGCATTCTGCTCCAAGTGCGAGTATTCACTACTATACAACAAATGGCACTCATCCTCGTGCCCCAACAGAATACAGTAGTAGTAATGCTGGCGAGACTCCCAACACTGATCATTCTGTTTCTACGCCCGCCACTTCTACCTCGATCAACTCTACCTCGATCACTGATCGCATGAGTATCGATGGTATCACACATCCGCAAAGTATGTCCGGCTCCTATACATGCACAGTTCCGGGATGCAATGCTGCGGCATTTCAGACTCAGTATCTCCTCAACTCCCATATGAATGTGCATTCGTCAGCACGGCCGCATTATTGTCCAGTAAAAGGGTGTCCAAGAAGTGAAGGCGGCAAGGGTTTTAAACGCAAGAACGAAATGATAAGACATGGCTTGGTTCATGACTCCCCAGGATACGTGTGTCCCTATTGCCCTGATAGGGAACATAAATATCCACGACCAGATAATTTACAACGGTATGTCAACTTGCAAGCTCAATTATGATTTTGTTGTATCTCCAACTCTGAGCTTCAATATTGATAATGGTGTCCATAGACACGTTCGTGTTCATCACCCAGACAAAGACAAAGATGATCCACAACTACGAGATGTACTCGCTCAACGACCAGACGGACCCAATCGTGGTCGAAGAAGACGCGGGCCACCCTCGTGAGCATTTGCAGCACGACTAGTAACTATTTTCGGGTTTGGCTATCGATGGATGAGGAACGATTTTACGACAACGCTATGAGGCGCAGTCTTTATTATGGAGTTATTTGAACAAATGCCTATACGAGTGATAGGTTGAGGGGACTTCTTCGGGTCTCACATCTGTTCCCAAAAGCTTTTGGTCCAGCGGCGTGAGGCTGAGCGAGAACAGACTAGGCGTTTAGGATTTTGGATACCCTTGGTTGGGTCAATTTCGTTTGTCATCTTTTCATTTTCTCTCCTACGGGAGTGTACCATTCATGCTGGAATGGCGTTGGCTAGCGAATAGCGTTTATTATGTTCAATTCTTTATATGCAGCACATGATACCCTCATCATCGTCTTATCACTTTCGCTTCTTTGTGTGTTTGAACGAGCATATACACGTGTTGGCTTCCTCATGTAAACTTGGATATTTGCGAGCTGCCTATAAGAGTGCCCAAGACCCAACATTGACGGGTCCGTCGCTGTGGATTTCTATTTCAATGCACTCTCCCGGTTGAGATATGCCCATACTCTCAACCACCAACCACATACCCTCACGTTGAATCCTTGCAGGTTCCATGTCTAACTCCGGGGTTCGTACAACGGTTTTGAGCTCCTCGTACTCGCCATCTCCCGATGTTGCGATCGTGGTTCGCTCTGGGTCCCAACCATGAGCCACTGAAACTCGGACCATGAGAGTGGATGAGGACCGGTTACTGGGATCCAGGCCAGGGCTGCAGACGCTTCGTGCAGTGATGCTGATCCGAGTTAACCAAGAAGCTGAAATCTGTACCCGCCGGACTTCTGCTCGATCGGAAAGTCTAAAGGGGGCGAGTGTCTTGCGCAATCTCCCCGCAGCATCAGCGGGAACAGGCTGTATAGTCACATCTGTCATGGATGAGATGCGAAGGAAAAAGTCGGCAAGCTGTCCTGCTTCAAAGGTCGAGCATACCAGAGTGTACACTCCGGCATCAACGTGTGGAATGTTTGCCACTGCACAGCCTCTCCGATATTCTCCAGATGAACCTGCTAGATCGCGAACCTTGAGCGTCTGAACCCGCTTGCCCTGAGACCAGACCAAGTCAATGTGCACGTGGACATCCTGCATACTGGTTGAAATTAATATGGAAAGAGGGCCTGCTTGAGCAAGCGATATTTTGTACTGCGGGTTAAGGGTGTATGTTGTGCAGGCTGCGCTACCCCCTGCAGACCTTCTGGTCCACGATCCAGTGGTTTCTTTTACGACCGTCATTGTATCTTCGGCCTCCTTAACTGCAAGTTGGCCTTGCGATAGAAAGGAAAGGGTCAGGGTGTAGTCCGGCAGCGGAAACTCGTGCTGATCAATGACAACGGTATACCGTTTCTTTGGACTCATTTCAAACCGTGCAAGGGTTTGTGGCGAATCAACATAAGGTCCACGGTAAAGGTCGCCATCGCTGACTTGAACCCTATGGCCATTGTTGTCAAATATGAGGATGCTCATGTACCCAAGCTGCCCTGAGACGGCTGCCATTGTGTCATTCCTGTTGCGAGAGATTTCGAGCTCAGCATCTACAAAGTGCCTGCTTACAAGGATCCATACAGGTCCGCCGGTGGGTGACTGCAGCGAATATTGTGGATTGCGTACCAAGGATGAAGATAGCTCTGGGGTTGGTATGTGCCAGGTGAAGTGGTGATCCTGTCGGTGGGGGAAGAGCGATGGGTTCCAGTTGAGATACATGGACTCAAAGTGCTGGAGGACATCTTCGAGAGTCATCCAAAATGAGCCAGCAATTGTGGGTGCGGCTCTGTTTCGAGAGTCTATCGTTTGTGGTGCCAACTCAGTCTCGGGAAGTTTTGAAATACCTCCTTTCCAGACTGGCCCGTCGCACCAAGGATTCTTGACCAACAGCCTTCGGCTGCCATCTACAACCTCGAGGTCCATGATAGCATAGTCGTGTTCACCAATTAAGCCTAGAAGGTCCTCTTCTTCATCTGAGATTCTTCCTGTGCCCAGTGTGACGACAACATTCTCGGAATCATGGCCGTTCTTTATCCGTGTCCACAGTTCGTTAATATCCAGGTCTTCCCTATACAGGCAATTGAAAGGTGAGTCCAAGTTGTAGGATTATGGCGAAGCAGAGGGACAAGAGTGACTTGAGATAGTAGGACTCCAATAACAAAAATGAGCGCTCACCTTTGAAGAAATATCTGTTCGGGGATCCAGCCGGTGAGTACCCACAAGTCTGTGCCAGAATTACTTCCTGGAAAGTCGTAACCGCCTCTTACTTTGAGGTAGGCTTTCTCTAAAAGTGCCGGCCAGATCAGCTGAGGGTTCAGTCGGTCAACGACGTACAGGGTGCGATCGGTGATAGACGAGGGAAGCCGCTCGTCGATGACAACACGGCGAAAGCATCCGTTGAAGTACAGCTTCAGCACGTATCTGCCTGAAGAGGAAACTTTGGGTATCCCTCGTGCTTTGTCGAAAGGGTACAAAATAGACGTTAGAACCTGTTCATGACTGTTAAAAAACTGGACAACATTAGGTTGGAAGACGATTTTACCGAGTGTCGGCCGGTCAAGATGCGCATGGCAGCGCATAGGCTGGCGACCACTGAACAATCGGTTGTCACGTCCTGAACAAGATCACAGCCGCGGCTGGAGTTCATCAAAGCATCATCGTCCTGGTCAAGATCTGGATGCAGGTCTCTTGGGCGCTTCCACCCACCAAAGGTAGCATCCTGCCTAGGCGACAATGTAAAGGTAGCATTGTCTCTGTACCAAAATCAGCAATCGATTCGATATCGGTGTGGACATTTCGCCTTACGTGAAAGGTCCCTCGCCTGGAGGAAGTTCAAAGTCTTTGCTTGAAGGCTCATTTGACCACGGGGGAAAGAGGTTGCCATGAAGGCGTGAGGTTCGTAGCAGGACATTGGGCGTCTGTGTGAGATGAGCCTTGAGTTTTTCTGCCTGAGCAATGAGTTGTTGACATTTCTGCCGCAAACGAGTAGCATCCTTCTTAGTAGGAGCCTCTCCAGCAGCTCTCATATACAGCTCAGCGGCCTGTACAGTGTAATCGAGGGCCGCTTGGCCGCTCGATGTTCGAATAAGAGACTCAGTGGCCTACGATATAGGGTTAGTGATCGATGAAGTCATATTGGCGGTCTCAAGGCAGAGGAAACAAAGCTAATGACGGCGGAATATGGGGCAGTAAATAACAACATAGGATTAAATTGACTTGCCTGAGCTCTCTTCTCCATCGCCGTTCTATTGTAACATGACCTCTTAATTCAAGGTAAGTTTAATTCTCATCAGTCTGCTAAGTTGACAACCAAACACTCGCTCACTAACCCCGCGGTGGGGGCTGAAATGATGGCAGTGCTACTACGTCTGTCGCATTCTCCACTTGTATGATCTCTCAAATCAACATTGATGATGAATCGAGTCAGGTACAGTGAGTAGAGAAGAATACCAACACTAGTTAACTACCTACTTATGACATAACCATTTGACGGTATTTCTCTAGCTTAGAAGACTGCGTCGTAGGCATTTATAGATATTACTTAATATGCTGGATGGGAAATCTCTCTACAAGCAATCGCCAATGTGAGAAAGATCAAGTAAAAAACAGTAGCCACATGCAGATGAGGAAGACATGAGTTGTTTCCACTTCTATATCTATTATGCACATTCAGATGCTTGATATAATATTGCAACTGTTTGATAAACGTCATAATGGAACTTCCCACGTGCAGAGAGAGCCAGCTAATAATAAAGTAAATAGGAGGTAGTATTTGGGGTTCCGGGTAGGTAAACTGAGACTAGCCGAGGTAGGTGCCGTGTCCCCCGAGTCAAATCACAGGCGGGGATTCAGGGAATCTGCCGAGACCGGTGGACTCGAACCTCGGCCCTGAACCGGTCGCAGGCCCGTTCAATCTTTTGATAACGGTATGATGCCCTGTTCGGGCCCATGTAAAGGTCACGCCCGACCTTGCGACAAGACAACAGCATAGATCTTGGCCATAGTTTGTCTTTCCTTACTCTTCAAGAACTTGACAATTATCGCATTATGGCCGCGCAATCGAAACCTGAGATTTCCCCTTGGGGTCGCGCCGTGGCTGGCGCTACAGGTGCTGTTCTAGCTAACGCGCTGGTCTATCCTCTTGACATGTAAGTCCCCGTCTTCTGGATTCATCTCGCATCCCCTGCTCGGTAGTTGCGCATGCTAAAGATCGCAAATAAAGTGTCAAGACTCGTCTCCAAGTTCAAATCAAACCAGATCCTAGCAAAGGTCCTTCCCCAACCGACGAACCACACTACACCTCGACATGGGATGCCATCACGCGAATTGTTGCCGATGACGGCATGAAAGGTCTCTACGCTGGCATGGGCGGTTCTTTGATCGGGGTTGCGTCAACCAACTTTGCCTACTTCTACTGGTACACCATTGTCAGAACGTTGTATCTCAAATCACGCAAGGGAACCGCGAACCCTTCTACCGTCGTGGAGTTGGGTTTGGGTGCTATCGCAGGAGCCATTGCCCAAGTCTTTACAATTCCTGTCGCAGTAGTTACCACGCGCCAGCAAACAGCCAGCAAGTCTGACCGCAAGGGTCTTCTCGCCACAGCCCGGGAGGTTATTGATGGCCCAGATGGTGTATCGGGTCTCTGGCGAGGTCTCAAGGCCAGTCTCGTTCTTGTTGTGAACCCTGCCATTACTTATGGCGCGTACGAACGGCTAAAGGAAGTGATGTTCCCTGGCAAGACTAGTCTGAGACCAGGCGAGGCATTCTGTGAGTCTGCGATCTGGAGCTGCTATCAGAACTATACTAACCGTGATGTCAGTGTTGGGTGCTATGTCTAAAGCACTTGCGACTATCGCCACTCAACCTTTGATTGTGGCCAAGGTTGGCCTCCAATCAAAGCCACCCCCGGCTCGCAATGGCAAACCCTTTACCAGTTTCGTTGAGGTTATGAAGTTCATCATAGAACATGAAGGCATGCTGGGTTTGTTCAAAGGCATTGGGCCACAGATTCTCAAGGGCCTTCTCGTCCAGGGTATTTTGATGACAGCAAAGGAGAGGTAAGACGACTTGATTCCCGCAGAGAAGCTGCCGTTGCTGACATATTTCCGCTCATAGGGTTGAGTTGATGTTCATCCTTCTGATTCGATATATCAAGTCCATTCACCTCCGCAAAATCAGCCGTACCGCTGAGAAGACTGCAGCAGCAGCAGCAGCTCACAGCGTTGCGGCGAAACCGGTGACAAGTACTTAGATTAGGGCAACAGCTGGTGAGGACTAATCACGACCAACGGGGTCAATGTTTGAGAGGAAGGGTTTTTGCAAAAGTGGGAATAGAAACGGATAGGTAGGTGTTTTTTGTTTGCATATTTCTCCAGTAATTAGCGTTGAATTCTTTACTGTGACCTTAGTAATGATTGTTGTGAGCTACGTCGAGGTTGTCTCTACTTTGGTACACACCATTTACCTAGAATTATAGGGTTTCTCTACCCAATATGAACAGAAGCCATGCAATCGTTGTTCTCTCGCCACACTGTTCATTCCTATAAAGCGTATCACTGTATTCCTTATCGTAACATCTCTGTTTGATAGCTAACCTGCATAGCCCTGCATTGGTAGGGCCACTCTCAGCAGTGAATTACCTACATCAACATGCAAGTTGTTGAACCGCTTCAAATAAACCAGTCATTACAGCCCCTCATAAGTTGAGAGTGATACCTCGGAAAAAGTGGACACCCAAAGCACGTGCAGGCTGCCGGATTAGGTCTGGCCCGTTTGGGCCATTCCTTCCCCTCTAGGGCTTCCTCACGCACATTTTACCTTTCACCTCGCAACTTCTTGATCCGTCTCCGTCGACAAAGGGAATCAATCAGCAGCAATGGCGAGTACGTGGGAGCCTCAGAAAATAACGAGAAGAAGATGTAGAGGTCACTGACACTGTCGCAGAGTCAAAGAACAGCTCCCAGCACAACCAGTCGCGCAAGGCGCACCGGAACGGGTATTTATCTCGAAATTCATTAACAACGGGCGATCGCTAACTCGCGCGTAGAATCAAGAAGCCCAAGACTTCCCGTTACCCTTCTCTTAAGGGTACCGACCCCAAGTTCCGACGAAACCATCGACATGCTCTTCACGGCAACATGAAGGCCCTGGTACGCCCGCACCTCCGATTGAAAACGATACCACGGATTTGAACAGCTGGCTAACAATTCTAACAGAAGGAGGCTAAGGAGGGCAAGCGCGAGACTGTCTAAGCACTCGGCAAAGGAATATTGAGGCGTCAATTTGGAGCATTCGCATTGCTCGGTTACGGCATACACACGATAGAACCTGCGCAAATGAACGATGGAAATACCATACGATTAGCCCGACCAAAAAAGGTGGTGGATGTCGATACGTACGTCTCGGCGAATGATGCTGTGACAGTCCCGAGTAAAGCATGTTGCTTGGCTTCCCAGGAACATGAGGTAGAATACCGAAAACTACTGCCTGAACTCCAAGCTGCAATTCCCAGTTCCACAAGTACATGTGTTAATGAAGTACTGTTTGCATTTGTGCTGCTCCTGCGTCATAACACATGGCGATTCGTTGGATTTGATTGAGCAATGTGATGCCTTACATTTTTGTTGCGGCAGTAGCAGATTTGGTGTTCGCCTTCTCACAAGTCCATGTTGTCACAAGAGCTGCAACATAAGTTGATTTAACGATACTCTTTCCTTGATTTCCTCGTCGGTTTAACGCCGTAGTAATCAGTGTTGCTGATCAGCACGCACGCCAATATCTGTTTGCTCGATGCTGTTGCATGGAACTTCGGAAAACCAATTGTACCTAGCACCTAGTAGTATGTAAATGCTTACAGATGACAAACGGCCACTACTTGGTCAACTGCGTCTTCACTAAATTATTCCATGTCATTGTAACTGCATGCTTCTCTATCCTACGACACTTTTGCCACCCATAAACATAAACTCGCAAGCGCCTCAGGCAACCGTGTATTATCGATGTAAATCCGATCATAAGGACAAGGATTAATGGCCTTTTTTCCATCTGATAGGCCTGTGGGCCCTTTACGGTGGGTGGCCCCAATTGGGTAAGCCCAGGGGCTGAGGCCTTCGCTGTGAAGAGAGGAACACGAATCCTAACTTTTGCTCACGACCATCCCATTGTCCTTTGACGAGTTCATCGCTAAAGGACGACGGTCCGTTATTTCATACAACGGCGGGATTTAATCAGGATCACTGTTGCCTGCCTGGAAGCAGACTTCGTCCTTTCTTTGCTCACCTACCAAGGTACTTACTATACCTCCGGTATCATTTGTATGCTCGGTACGACGCTCCTTCCCACCCCTCCCGCGGTTGCGTCTCCAGGCCGTTTGATCAGACGGAATGGAATGATCTCTCCATTCAATCTCAATTTACGAATGCCGTCTAACGATTCTACAGCGCTGTTCATCGTCTGGCTACTTAATGTTCTAAATTTCTTGCCTTGCTTGAAGTCTAAGCTCCTTTGAGGTCAGCCGGTCACTGCAGGAGAGAGACGATTCTTGTCACCTTTTGCTTGCCACCATCATATTCCGTGCGCTTTGCCCTTACAACCTTATTATACTTTAACCCACCCCGATAATGCACAACATGTCTGGAAACCACGTTATCGGAAACAGGAATAGCACACCAGAGGCTAACAACACCTCGACCTTGCGACCGCCTTCTTCGAGAGCTGTCGGCTCCGGACACTCACTTCGCGCCTCGGCCGACATGGCATCCCTCTCTGGCCCTTCTCCGTCCAGCCGTATTCGACCGTCTTCCGACTTCTACGGTCAGGCTCAGCAGAATCTTGGCCCGAACAATGCCGAGTCAGACTCTCAGGACAAGATTGCCCAGCAATGGATTGCTGATATCGATCAGTACGAGACGACACTGGAGGAAATGGCTGCTGCTACTCTCGATCAGGATTTCAAGGACGAGCTCAGTGCCATCGAGCAATGGTTCCGTGTCCTGAGCGAGGCCGAGCGTACTGCTGCCCTGTATGCTTTGCTGCAACAGACAACCCAAGTCCAAATTCGCTTCTTCATTCAGGTACTCCAACAGATGGGCAAGAACCATCCACTGTCAGGTGTTCTCTCTCCTGCTAGCTTCGACAAAGGTATGAAAGGTATCAAAACGAGCTTGCTTCATATCTAACACAGCCGCAGATCCCATGTCCAATCGTCTTAGTGATGCTATGAACAAGCTGAATGTCGATTCCGCCCGCAACTCCATGGCGCGCAGCTCCGTCATTGCCCCATCTACCAAGAGACACTCCGGACTCGATCCTACAACCATCAGCGCCATGTTCCCCGACGCCGCAGCTGCTATCGCGACCGAGAAGGCCAAGTTTACCCAGCAGACCGGAAACCCACCTTCATCGAACCGTAACAGTATCGCTCTGGATCACCGGTCGTCCATGGCTGCCCCTTCCATCAGTGCTCCTCAGGATAGTCGTGATGCCGGGCCTGCTGGTTCCTCGCCTTGGCACAGTGGCGGGAATGGAGACACCTCTGCGAAAGCACCATCGGGCCAGACGCCGATGGGTCAATTTGTGCAGCCGACACCATCAGGCGGTCTTCGATCACCCCGCCCCCCCCAACTGTCAAGCAACAGTACGATCCAGCAAACAACACTCAATGCTCCCGAGAAAACCCCCGCAGATTTGCCTTTGCTGTCACCCTACAACGCTGGCAGTGGTAACTGGGCTTCTATGGTCAACACACCAATGACAAGTACTTTCAATGCAGCTGCCACTGGGGGCAACCAAGCTGACATGGTTGCTAATGCCACAGCCATGAAGCTTGCGGCCCTGTCGACGGTTAACAACCGGTTCGCGCTTGATGATGTACGAAAGTATCGTCGTGCTAGATCCAATGACGGTACACCTGGCAACGGCCAGAACCCTGTACCTACTGGTCCCCAGCATGGCATCAATCTCCCGAATGCTAATGTAGTCATGATTAACGAGCACGGACAAGTACTTAGCCGGGAGCAGATCATGGCCCTTCAAGCACAGCAGACCCTCGGTTTGGGTGGCCAACGTTCTCGTCCTAGCTCTCCCGGGCTCGCCATGCAGCCTGGACTTGCTCACATGGCCCCTTTCGCCTCACCGCAAAACAATGGTTTCCTCAGCGCATACGATGGATCATCGCCACTGTTGAGCGCTGGCATGCAATCTGTCAATATGGGTAGTCTTGGTATGGGTGGCCACGAGGGTTATCTGTCGGACCATTCTGACATGAATCGTGGACGGTCTCCTCGTGGACGTCGCGGCAGCTCGAAGCCTCCGGAAGATCCTACTGACCCAACCCTCCTACAGGACATCCCTAGCTGGTTGCGAAGTCTTCGTCTTCACAAATACACCGACAACCTTAAGGACATGAAATGGACGGATCTTATCGAGTTAGATGACAAGGCCCTAGAGGAGCGTGGTGTGAACGCTCTTGGTGCACGCCGAAAGATGCTCAAGGTCTTTGAGCAGGTCAAGGGTAGGCTTTTGAAATAATCCATCGTCTAACAACAACTACTAACCTTTTCGCAGAAGCCAAGGCCGATGGAAAACTGAGCTAGAAACATCATGACCGGGCATGCATGCATAGAGACCTTCAAAAGTGGATTGTAAGGTGGTTTGTTTTCTTTCAGATGGTGCTGAATTTCCTTCGAGTTCTTGACTTGTTCGCCTTTGTTACCCAGGGAGATGAACGTCAACCTGCGCAACTCAGAATTATAGTCAAGCGCGAGAACGACGAGTTATCGCGACGTTATGAGTTGATAGTAACGCCTTGTGTCTTATTTGCAATAAACTGTTTACTTATTTCAGCATTCACTCGTGATTTACGTGAATTTGAAGATGCTGCTACAAACCCCTAGTCTAGGCTGTCTGCAACACTTATTTCACAATGTACATAGATGGATAGGTAAACCCCTTATCACGAGCGTATAGTTAAACGGCTTACGCAACGAGATTTGAGCAGCTTGGTACCTGGGCACCGATTCTACTGGGCTTGTTCAATCTACGAAGAGATATCCGCTTAACAGTGACAACCCGGAAGTACAACAGTATGTGAGTAACAGTAGTTAGGTCAGCAAAGCCACAGGGCTTAACATCAGTACTAAATCTTATATCGGAATATAAGCTCTGAACAGATGGCGAAACATCCTCCAAGTGTTAAGGTACTACGAAGTAGCATTCAGGTCTGAGACGGTTTTACGAAACACGTGACTAACAGCTGAGCCACCTTTCCTGCGCCACGTCTTGACGCCAATCGTTGACACCCATTGTCAACTTCAAATCAAAAGTATCAACACTACAGTTTTGTCGGAATTTCAAGGTACCGATATGCAAGATGTCGAGAGATGGAAATCTGGAGATGATGGAAAGGTTCGTACTTTTCGTTTTTCGAATGATAAAAAATACGTACTGATCGAGATAGGCAACACGAGAATGCTTCTGATGCAGATTCTGACCTGGAGGAGTTGGAGGATGATATTGCCAAATTTGACCAGACTGTAAGGAACTTTATAAATGAGCAACGCGACGAAGTTGTTCCAGCCTCGGCAAATCGCGCTGGGTTACGTGGGAAGGGAGCTCGAGGTCCGCGAAAAGCAGCCAAGCCTAGAGGCGATATCACAGCGCGACTGTCAAAAGTTAACCAAGCTTTCCTGAGTGGTGACTACTCATTAGCGCTGGACCTTGTATTTGAAGTCATCAGAATCAATGCAGAAACACACCAAGCATGGACGACCTTGGCTTCCATCTTTGGCGAGCAGGGTGATATGAGCAAGTCGCTGTCTGCAATGGTCTATGCTGCCCACCTTCGCCCTAAAGATGTCAATGGATGGCTTCGATGCGCATCGTTCGCATTGGAGAATACAGGAGACGATGAGGCCGGCAATCTCAATACTGCAAGACTTTGCTACTCTGCCGCGCTACGCGCTGATCACACAAACCTGGACGCAAGATTAGGAAAGGGTCTGGTCTGTCACAGGCAAGGTCATCTGGCTGCCGCTATTTCCGACTACAAGGTTGTGTTGAGGCATCGTCCCTACGATCTTGAAATCGTCAGAAAGCTTGCAGAAGCCTGTGTTGACAACAAGCAAGCAGAAGCAGCTGTCCCTAGCGCAATTGCAGCCTACAAGCGTTTCTTTGACCACGAGAAGAAAGAAACGAGCCTTGGTATGATAGAATCACCGTGGACTGATATCGGAATCTACGTGGAACTATTTGCTTCAACCGGCCGTTATCAGGATGCCATCCAAGAGGCGAAGGCGTTAGCTAGATGGGCTTTGGGCCGAGAGTCTGAAGGATATTGGAATGACTGGCAATCCGATGACCGTGAGTGGGATATGGATGATGCAAGACGAGCAGGTGTTCCAGAATTCAGAGCTGGACTCTGGAATCCCGAGCTTTATGGCCGGTCATTTCCTTTGGACCTTCGTGCCCGTCTGGCGATTTACAGATTTCGAATTGGCGATGAGGAAGAAGCCATGGTATGCAGCCAAAGCTTCACAAAAGAAGTTATGCTAACAATGCAATAGAAACATCTGTGGTGGTTTGACCCTGAGTCCCTTATTACGAGAGACTTCGCCATTGAGTTTCCCTTCTTAACTTTTGACCTTGCAGAGGAGTTGGCTCATCGTGGCCATACCCCATTGGCGATCTCGTACTACCACATACTTCGCGATTTGCCCGGCGATGCAGATGCAACAATTCTACTGCAGCTAGGGCGATGCCATTCTGCGATTGGCGAGAATGCAACTGCCGAGGAGTATTTCCTGGCTGCTATCGATGCGGACGAGGATAATATCGATGCTCGTATCGAACTGGCTAACATGTATGAAAAAGCTAGAGAGGAAGAAGAAGCTCTTATCTTGGCTGCTGAGGCAATGGCTCTCCGAGAGATCCGGGACCGAGATCATAACAATGAAAGCGGCCAAGACTCGAGCACAGCTACTGAACAGCCCAGCCGCCGGGCTCCACGAAAAGCCCAAGCTGTTCCTCGAAGGACAGATGCTTTTGGAAAGCGGCTCATAACACGACGCTACCGACCAAAACGATTGGCCGGTGCAGAGAAGCGTCGTCAAGAAGAACAGGCGCGTGCCGTAAAGTTGGCAGAACAGTATGAAATTGTTCAAGATCTCCGACGAAAGATTAAGGAGGGTTATCAAGATTTGATTCCAGAATGGATGGCCTCTTCAAAAGAACTTGTGGACGACTTCCGATCAATCAAGAAATTCTATACTTGGGATAAGTATTTGCATTTCTTAGGACCAAAGAACCATGTGCAACAGCAAGAAGCAGGTCAACCACAAAACGAGCTGTCTCAAATGTACGAGAGATTGGCGAGAAGTGAGTATGCTAAGCCCCGTGGATAGATCACTGACTGATTTTGAAATTTCAACAGCCCTCGCACCTCAACCGGACAATGGGAATGGAGAAGCAGGTTCCTCAGATCTCGAGAGCCATCGGGGTATTTCTTTCAATAACTGGCTCGATCTTTTTCTCGATTATGCCATTGGTCTCGCTATCGCACATCGGCGTGATGAAGCTTATCAAGTGTGCGAAGCTGCTCGAGATTCAACTGCATTCCAAGCCCCAGAGCACGGATTTATCATTCATATTGCATGGAGTGGTAAGTAAATTGCGTCACGATGTTTCAGGGACACTAACTTTTGTAGTTTGTGCTATTTACACAAGCGATGAGGAGAAGTGTATCGCAACTGCTCGCCAGCTAATGAGGGATGGTGCAACCTCTGATTCGTACCGCATGTTTGCTCTTGTATCAAACCTATGCCAATCTCCTGTATCCTGGTATACATCAGGGCCAGCCCAAAAATACATTCTCCGTCAGATCAAAGCCATGGATGAAGCCTATGGCGAAAGCGAGTCCAGCGAAGATTTGGCCAAGAAGAGAGAGCCATCACTGGATGCTTGTGTACTGATGTTGTACGGGCATATTCTTTTCACATCAACAAGTTACACATACGCTCTAGGTAAGTAGCTATGTTTGCTCCAGCATAACTCGACTGACGTTTCATAGGATACTTCCTCCGATCTCGGGCTTTGGACCCCGATAATCCTATGGTGAATCTAAGCCTTGGGTTGGCATATGTTCACTATGGGCTCAAGCGCCAATCAACAAATCGCCAGTACTTACTGCTGCAAGGGCAGTCATTCTTGTCGCGCTATGCCGAACTGGGCCCGACAGGCTCGCTCGAACAGAGCAGTCAAAACAAGGCAGAGGCGTACTACAACATAGGCCGCCTGTACCAGCTTCTGGGTATAAACTACCTAGCTCTAGAGTACTACTCGCGAGCAAAGAAGGTATTGCGGGATTGCAGAGGGTACGCAGAGGGTCTTGGGGGACTCGAGGTTATGGTAACAAGTAATGAATACGCATTGCTGGTGATTAATCAGAACAACAAGGCATTGTCTTTGTTAAAAGGAAGAATCAAGCTATAGTTAGCCAAGGAGACCATTGTCAGAATACCCAGAGAATTTATCATAAAAGTAATGGAAGTTGGTTGTTAATTATAAAATAATTAAGCATGAGAAGTGCACGGGATATTTTTTTATCTGTCCATCTGAACTTGGCTGTTAATTCCGTTAAGCTCTCCTCGTCTTCTAGGATGCCAAGGAATACAACATATCTGGACCACAAAATGGTTGCCAGTATCGCATATGCACTGCGTTGAATTGGCACCTGAAATAGTAAAGCACGGCTCAGTCGAAAATGAAAGCCAAGAGTCCGCAATGAACACTATACATGTGAAGCACGCGATGTGTTCTGCTATTTAAACACGAAAATAGGTATCATTTTAAATTAACATATGCTATAAATTTACAATTTGGAGAAAACGCCCTTGCAGGCGCCCCTGCCCAGCTGGACCAATGTGCTCTTTGTCCTCATGTAGGCTGAGATGCCCTCATGGCCATTCTCCAAGCCAATGCCACTCATTTTCCAGCCTCCAACGGGCATCTCTGCAGGGGATTCACCCCAAGTGTTAATCCAGGTGATGCCAGCGTCGAGCTTTTGAACGACCTCTTGCGCCAAGCCGACATCGGAGGAGACAACACCGGCAGCAAGCCCCATTGGGGTGTCGTTGGCTCGGGCGATGAGTTCCGACAGCCACTCTGGACGAGGGCGCCCCTGTGTCTTATAAGGCATAATGCACATAACTGGACCAAATATCTCCTCTCTTGTCACGCGCATGTCGTCAGTGCAGTTGGTAAAGACAACGGGGTGGACCCAAAAGCCTTCAGAAGTTGGCTGTGGCATGCTAGACTCTTGTGAACCATCGAACAGGACCTTTGCCTTGTCCACTGAGCGACCGTGTTGGATGTACATCTTGACCTTCTCCTGCTGTGCAGCGCTAACCATAGGGCCGAAGTTGGTCTCGGCCTTTTGTGGCAGACCCATACGGATTCCCTCTCGACATCGCTGGACAATGGCTTCTTCGACCTGGGCTAGCAGTGTGTCTGGGACGAACACACGGGTTCCGTTGGTGCACACTTGACCGGTCGAGAAGAAGTTGGCGACCATGGCGGTGTCGGCCGCGTCTTCTACGTC